TCATGGAGGCTGGAGTCTTGCCTACAATAAATGCGGGACAAAAGAAAAAACCCTCCATGTCTGGGAGCCCCACGGGGCCCCATTCGGTTTCATAACCCCCAGTACCTCAGAATGTGACTGTATTTCGAGACTGGGCTTTTCAAGAGGTCATTAAGGTAGGATGAGGTCATGAGGTTGGGCCCTAATCCAAATCTGACTGCTGTCCTTATAAAAAGAGGAGATTAGGACACAGATGTGTACAGAGGGGAGAGCATGTAAAGATACAAGGAGAAGACGGCTGTCCACACGCCAAGGAGAGAGCCCTCAAGAGAGACCAACCCTGCCGACACCTTGATCTTGGATTTCCAGCCTCCAGAACTGGGAGAAGATAAATTGCTGTTGTTTAAACCAACCAGTCTGTGGTACTTTGTTATGGCACTGAGAGCAAACCCATACACCTCGTCTAGGAAAACCTTAGTAAGTAGATAAAGCGCCCGCCCCTCTCTAGGAGCCACTGGGCAGGTTGTGCAGCCTGGGAGGGCTGTCTGCTTAGAGCTTTATGTGGAAGGAGGCACATTCTTCCTGAGCCTCCTGATCGCCACTGAATCCCCCTCCGAGAGAAGTCCATCTCCTGGAATGTGCCAGAAGGTCATATGGAAAAGGTCAGGGTCAGAGACACAGATCCTCTTCCCAGCTGTTTCACGTCCAGTTCTACGAGGTGGGAAGGGATGAGGGCTGCCCTATTGCTAAAATCCTTACATTCTGGGTCCCTTTAAAAATTGAAAACAGGCGACTTCCCTGGTGGTTCATTGGTTAAGATTCCATGCTTCCAATGCAGGGGGCGCAGGTTGGATCCCTGGTCAGGGAACTAAGGTCCCCCATGCCACGCAGTGCAGCCAAAAAAAATAAATAGAGAAAAACTGAAAACAAAAAAATCGAACCTGTCAAGCCACGTAAAGCAACGTTGGCTTTGACTGCAGAGCTCAGGAGTCTCCAGTCCTTTCCAGACCGATCCTCCAGCTTGGGTGAGATTATGGGGGGCGAATGATTCACAGAAGAAGAGCAGTTTCGGGTCTGGGCTGGAGGACGGGTCGGAGCCTGTGGGAGACAGCCTGGGTCTCCCTGAGCCTGGGGACCCGGGCTGCTCTGTGGCCACTGCAGCTGGCCGTCCTCTAAGCTGAGCAGAGTGGACGACCGACTGAGCTTCCTCTGTGGGGAGGAAACAGTTAAAATCCTGAGGCAGCTGCAGTCAGCTGGGCGTGGTGCTCGCATCGGACTGGGGCCACAGGATTCTGGGCCCAGGAGCAGAGGAAGCCCAGCTCTGGCGCAGAACTTCCACATGGCTGAGTTTGATCTGACGGCTCCAGGGCCGCTGCCCAGGGTTCCCGCTCACCCTCCGGCCACCCTCAGCCCAGACCGTGGGCGGGCCAGCCCAGCAGAAGAAAAGGACGCAGCCGCCCCGGGGAGCTCCCCGGGGGAGAGCTGGGGACAGAGCCATGGCTCTGCCTGGCAGGGGCGTCCTGGGGCGGAGGCGGAGGTCCTGTGCGACTTCTGCCTCGGGGCCAGCAGGGTGAGGGCCGTGAAGTCCTGCCTGACCTGCATGGTGAACTACTGCCCGGAGCACCTGCGGCCGCACCAGGAGAACAGCAGGCTGCACGGCCACCAGCTGACAGAGCCCGTGAAGGACCGGGACCTGCTCGTGTGCCCGGCCCACCACAGCCCCCTGGTTGCCTTCTGCTGCCCCGATGGGCAGTGCATCTGCCAGGAGTGCGGCCGGGCCGAGCACAGGGGCCATGCCTCTGTCTCCCTCGATGCCGCCCACAGGGACAAGGAGGCAAGTGCTGGGGTCCGTGCGGAGAGGGAGGTGGGGAGGCCGTGGGCCAGGGAGAGGCCTGGCCTCTGCCTCAGCTCCTGGGGCTGCCGGCTTCACTCCTGTGCTCTTAGCTTTGGCCCCTGGCCGTGCAGCCAGCAGCCCTGTCTCTTGCATTTGCTTTGGAAACTCCGAGTCGGTTACTCTGTCGCCATCTCGGTCCTGCTGTCCCTGTACCTCTCTGCGTCTGTCGCTCCTGTGGCGAGTTTCCTACTACTTCTCACTCAGCTTTTGGTGACTTATCCGGGGGTGGGTGTTGGGTGCAGAAGGTGTTTCCCTCTGGCTGGATCTGAGTGGCAATGAATGCAATGTAAAGCTTAGCAGAAATTCAAGAGAAAAGAGCCTAAACTTTGCCCGAAGTTCTCTTTTTCCCTTTACCCCAAACAAGAGATCAGTAGCAAGGGCCCCTTTGGAGATACCGGGTATGAAATCCAAGAGCTCAAATAGTGCCGAGATAACAGAGAACTGGAAACTTCCCTCCGGGTACAATGTCAAGGCCTGCTTACCTTAGGGAAAATAAATCTCCTCACCAGATAGAGGTATCAGGAGAGACTGAGAAATGCTGTGCTCACAGCCTGTAATTTTATTCCCATCAGGTAGGGCAACTGTTTCTAGAACAGCTGACTTTTCTTTGCCCTGAGAAAGCCGAGAGCCTGGAGAAGTTCCTGGGAATGGATTCATGTGCTTCGTTTCTCATACTCGGACTTTCCACGAGCACGTTTGTTCTCAGTGGGGAAGTGCAGTTCTTTTGTCCCACATTTCTTGTGTCCAGGCTCCGGGCAGCTCCCTGTCTGCGCTGAGCACGGCCTGTGGCCGCGTCTTGGCCCCGGGCTTCCTGGGCAGCAGACAAGGAGCTTCCTGGAGCAGGACCCGCTTCTCCACACCCTCCCTTAGTGGGAATTGTTCCAGAAAGCTCTGCATTCCAGATGCCAGTGAGTCACTGTTATCAACTCCACAGTCCACTTGCCAACAGTTCCCAGCATCTCCAGTGCCAGGAAATGTCCACTCAGGAGAGCAGGTCACTGCCACCCGCTCCCCACGTTCACAGCCACGTTCACAGAGGAGGCTCTGCGTCAGCAGACAGGTCAGAGATTAAAGCTCCATGTAACTGACTACACGGTCTTCATGGAGCCTTGCCGTGCGCTATGTGCTTTCCGTGGAGTTTCCCATCCAGTCCTGGAATAACTCACTGAGGTGGTGACTCTTTTCGTCTTCACCAAATTTGTCCAGACTCATACAGATGACTAAGCCATGGAGTGGGAATGGAAGCTTCTGGAAAGCCACCCCACTGGAGGAACACAGGGAAGGACCCCGAGGTCACAATATTATGACCTTACTGTATTTTTTTGCACCCAAACCCTGCCACACATGTCGTAGAGAGATTAAAGCAGAGTGTACTGCTTTTCCCTTGTTCAGGGTATAATATCTGAATTCTGTTACATTTGACTGGAAAAGTGGTGCATGCCCCTGTTCAGAAACAATCCCCACCAGATACTGAGGTAGATTTTCCCAGAAAAGCCCTCCCTCCCAGCCTGGATCTGCCCATCTCCCTCCTCAGAGGCAGACACCACGATCTACTCTTTTCTTCTGTTTCCTTTCAGAAGTTCTATGCCTGTAGCAGCATAGCTACAATATGAATTTTAACGTAGTGTAAGCTGGTGCGTTACAGAGACATAGGGTAATTGCCATTCTGAGCAGGGAGAGTTGTGTTGCTCCTGTGTGGAACCCCAAATTCAGACATCCCAGGAGGGAGCTGTGTCAGGTAAAATACAGACAACTGGGGCAGTTCTTGGTGCTGAAAGCAGGCCAGTTACAGGTGCGATGCAGCAGCCCCGTACCCCAGATCCTTGGTGCGGGCCCAGTTCCCAGCCTCTGCTCCCTGGTGTGCCTATCAGAGTTCCTGCCCTTCCACCCTGCATCCTTGCTTTCAACCCTGAGAGTGAGTGTGTGCTCTGTCAGCGCTTTTTGGGTGGCCCTGCCACGGCTCAGGAGCCAAAAGATTTCTTGCAAGGAGCCCAGGAGACCAGCTCCGAAGACACAGTACCTGGATGAGGCTTCGGCCACCACCAGGATTATTTTGAAAGTCTTACTAGACGTCAGTAAGGCTCCGGAAGCTCCATCTTTCCTCCAGCCAGCCCAAGCCCGCTGGGGCTGCTTACTGAAGGTCACTTTGGATCGAGTCAAGCGCTAGTCACTCAGGAATGTTGTGCAAGGGAAACCGTGAACAGCAGGGCCAGCCACAGGGACACAGAGCGGCTGGGAGCTGCATCGGGTCCACAGCGATGGATTTCTCAGTTCACCGACAGAGCCCTTTCTGAGGCTCCCACGGTCTCTAGCTATGCCAGTGGGCAAAAACTCTGGATTTGGGAACCTGGGTGTTCTCTGATTATTTGTTCTGTGCCGCTGGGCTTCCAGAGCCCAGCTCTTCCCAATGGGGACTCCGCTCTTCCCCTTGCCCAGGCCAGCGTCCCAAAGCCTCTTAGTTTTTTTTTTTTTTTTTTTAAATGGAAGTGTAGTTGATTTACAACGTTGTGTTAATTTCTGCTGTACAGCAAAGTGACTCCGTTTTACACATATAGACATTCTTTTTAAAATATTCTTTTCCATTATGGCTTGCCCCAGGCGATTGGATATGGTTCCCTGTGCTCTACAGTAGGACCTTGTTGTTTATCCATTCTACATGTAATAGTTTGCATCTACCAACCCCGAATTCCCAGACCATCCCTCTCCCTTAGCTTTTTTTTTTTCTTTTTGGCCGCACCCTGCAGCATTGCAGAACTTCCCCGACCACTGTGCCCCCTGCAGTGGAAGTGCAGAGTCTTAACCACTGGACCACCAGGGAAGCCCTTCCCTTAGCTTTTAAGAGCAGCTGATCTTAACTCCACTCACCTTCTCTGAACTCAGGCTTGCTGCTGGGAAAGGAAGCTGTAGCACGCGTGTGTGTGAGTTGTGAAGTTTGCACTCTTTCTGTGACTGCTTTCCTGTTCTTTTCTGTTCCTTTTCAAGTTTATCAAACATTATCGAGCACTTTCTATGGGCTAAGTGTGCTACACTATCTCAGGGAGCGTGGGCTGTAGTCAGGAAGCCAGGGCAGGTCCATGTCTGCCTGGATGCCAAAGGGCTGGGGCAGCACAAGGGCCCTGCTGCGTGTTCCAAGGAGGAAGACCCCTGGCAGTGAGGTCAGGGCAGGTATCTTGGGGGAAGGAAGGCTCGGCTGGGCCCCGCCTTAGACCTTCAGCTCCATTAGTGGCAGGTCACCGCATCCGATCTCAGCATTGGTTCCAGAAAGCTCAGGATATGGCAGGGGTCTCGGACGCAGTCTGCAGCTAGAGCGGGAGCTGAGCTCTGAGAGCCACAAGTGTTCCCGCTTCTTGGGGGCGCCGATAACCAGCGTTGTTCACGGCCCGTCTGCTGCCAAAAGGCGGATGGCTTGAGGTGTTCAGGAGAATTTCTTCTGGAAGTTCCGAGGAGTGCCTTGGACTCAGTATTATGCGACTTGTTTTATCCTGAACATTGCACCAGGCTGTGCGTCTTTCAGGAGCAGGGGCGGTGTCTTGTATAACTGGACTGACATGTAGTGAACTCTGATAAGCAGGCCAAGGGTGAAGTCAGGGCCCAGCTGGGACCCTAGTGTTCCCAGACACAGACTCTCTAGAGGGAAACACAAAGCAACTGGCACCATGTGGAATCTCCTTCTCTCTTCTCCCTCCGTCTGCTGTTCCAGTTTGCATCTCTACCCGGACCCTGGCCACTGAGCTGGGTACCACCTTTGCCCTGGAGACAGAAGCAAGAACGATTTTGTTAACATATTCTTGAGGCACCGGAGGAGACGCTAAACCATCTGATGAGGGTCGTAGAGCCTGAGAGAGGCAGATCTTGTACCCCGGATGTGGTGCCTTTTGCTGAAGCGGGGAGGACTCTCTGTGCCCTTGGACATGGGGCTGTCTACTCTCATTGGCACTGCTGTCCTGATTTTGTGTGGGGCCTGCCTGGGCCTGCGACTCGGAGCCAGGGTCTAAGGCACCCCGTCATTTCCTGGGAACAGGAAAAACTGGAGATGCTGGTCTCCGAAGTGGCCCCGCCTCTTGTGATAAGCAGGAGTGCCTGCTTGTGGGGTGACTCACTCAGAAGTCCCCGTTAGGCACTTGGGAGTCCCTTTCTCCTTTTATGGTAATCCGCAGACAGTGGGGAGAAGCCCCCTCCCTGGACACTCTGGGGGTCTCCTGTGTCCCCGGATGGTGCTGGGGCCGACCACTTTAATACGCTCTGCACTCGTTGCTAATGTGTGTTCTGTTGTGTCTCCCACCACCTTTCAACAAGCAGCTCATGTCCCCTCCCGTCGTGGAACAGGTCACTGGGTAATAAGCCTTCTAGACAGACCAAGATTCCACGTTGCCCCGGAATAGATCGGACCCCGCATCTTCCCTGCTTCCCCCACTCCCGGGCATCAGGTCTCAGACCTCAGGGGCGGGAGGTCACCCGGGCTCACTCGGCTCTGAGTCAGGGCCGCAGGGCCTGAGCAAACGTTGCCAGGCTTCTGCAGAGGGAGGCGAGTCCCCTGCCTGCCTGGGCTGCCACCACTGGGGCCTGGGATTCCCGTGGGCTTCAGTGGGAGGAAGGGGAGACGCGTCACGGTGCCCCCGCACCCCGAGTTCTGTTAGGGCGAGTGCAGACACGCTGCTGTGAAAATCAGTGAAACCTCTTCTGTCTGTTGCTACTGTCTCGTGCCCTTGTGGACGCAGAAAGTGACAGGGCCTCTGAAGTTCGCAAAGGCTCTGGTTTCATGCCTCGGCACGTTCTCGGCAGACAGTGCTTGGGGAGTTTCAGGAGGCGAGAGTGGGGCTGGGCAGGGGCGTCGACGTGGCAGACCCGGGGTTCTCAGGCAGGCACTTGCCTCGGCGGGGAGGGTTCGCTCTGTCTGCATCCGGCAGAGAATAAGAGTCCGTGATGGAAAGCAGCCGAGGTAGTGCTAGTAGCGATGAGGATAATGACACCACCGACACGGATGGAGCGCCTGCAACGTGCCCGCTACTGTACAGAGTTCCTGCTGACACGCCTCCCATCCTTGCGGGAACCCTGTGAATTGGGCACTTTAGCTGCTCCCACCTCACAGGTGAAGAAATGCAAGTGTGGAGGCGTTAAGTAGATTTTCCCGAAGTCTCATCTGCTAACTAGAAACCCTGGGATGCCCACCCCCGACTTCAAGCGCCCTGTGCTCCTTGTCAGGCTGTTCTGGGCCGGATGGGCTGGACTCAACTCCACTGACAACTGTGTGACCTTGGATAGGTGGCTCCACTTTCTCACCTGTACAATGGAGATAACGTGTTTACCTGCTATGGGCATGGTCAGGATGATAAGAGGTGACACAGAGAAATGCTTGAAGCGATGCCCAGCGCAGCGTAAGCTCTCCCTGCATTTTAGCCAGTTCACCCCAGGAAGTGCTGGCACACAGCTGACCCTCTGTGCCTCCACTGAGGGTGGGTGCTCCAGCCGGGCTTCTGAGAGCAGCTTCTGAGACAGACTCCCCTTTCCGTGGAAGAAGGGCAGACGGTGCCCTTGCTCCTGGGGACCTTCCGAGTGCCCTGGGCTCCTTCCTCCTTGACGCTGACCTTTCCTCTTCTTAGGCTGAGCTTCGGACCACCCGGTTAGACCTGGAGCGGAAACTCAAGTTGAATGAAAACGCCATCGCCAGGCTCCAAGACAACCATAAATCCGTTCTGGTAAGGCTGGCCGGGGTCACCTGCCGGGCTTTGGCACACCTGGCAGCTGCTGCATGCCCAGCCAGGCCCACCCGGGGGTGTGGGATGCAGGGTGCAGGCCCGGGCCCCATGTCCACGGGCCCCATGGGTTTTATCATTGGGTGAGAATTGTGGGTACAGATAAGGTTGGCCACACTGCAGGGTTGCTTCAACTTGTTATGGGGATTTGCTATGAAATTAGTTCAAGATTCAGAACTGGCAAGTGATTTACTTTTTAATGTTATAGAGTAGAAGCAAGCTAGTCCTGTAATGACAGTGTCCTTATTTGTACATGTGTATATGCTTTTTTGACCGGGAGAAAAGGGTGTATGTGGGAATCAAGGGGGGTGGTTAGCCAGAGCTCCAGAAATTATGCATAATCTTGGATTCTTCCGTCATAGGAGGGTGTTCTGCATGCAATTCTCACCAGTCCTAAATCCTGGCAGCCAGAAAAGAGAGGTGAGAGCTGCTGGATTAGTGGATGGTACTTGATAAGGCCAGTGGCGTGCCAGGCTACTTAGTTTTAGTCTCTCTGGTTTGTGACCACTTTCTATAATAAACCCTAAGTAGACCCAAACAGTTCCACAAAGGTTTCTCATTAGTGGCAAGCCAATAACCACAACTCAGAGGAGAATGCAAAACAACTACCCTATGGCAGTCAGTCAGCAGCAGCATCTTTGCATATCAAGAATGATTCTATCCATTCATCCATCCATCCACCTATGTATCCTCTATCCATCCATCCACCCATCCACCCATCCACCCACCTATCCATCCATCCATCCACCCATCTGTCCATCCATCCACCCACCTATCCATCCATCCATCCACCCATCCATCCATCCATCCATCCACCCATCTGTCCATCCATCCACCCACCTATCCATCCATCCATCCACCCATCTATCCATCCATCCATCCACCCATCCATCTATCCATCCATCCACCCATCTGTCCATCCATCCACCCACCTATCCATCCATCCATCCACCCATCCATCCATCCATCCACCCATCTGTCCATCCATCCACCCACCTATCCATCCATCCATCCACCCATCCATCTATCCATCCATCCACCCATCACCTACCCATCCACTCACCCATCCATCCATCCATCCATCCATCCATCCATCCATCCATCCACCCACCCACCCACCCATCCATCTATCCATCCATCCATCCATCCATCCACCCATCTGTCCATCCATCCATCCATCACCTACCCATCCACTCACCCATCCATCCATCCATCCGTCCGTCCATCCATCCATCCATATCTAATACATGTAACCATTTCAACTTAATTTCTTCCTTCTTGGTGTTTATAACTAACTGGCTGTGGAAGAATGAATACCTATTTCTTACCCATATAATCTTATGAAAAGAAGAACAATAATTATCCTTTTAAAGCCTTGGAGACCTTCAGAGATTGTTGATTTCCGTGCTCAGCGTAATCTGGAGAACCGCATGGAGCACCTTGCCTTTTTCCAGCTCTTTATTTTCCAGACACTTTGATCCCTACTCAGTTCTTCTCTTAACTGCATGGTAACCAGGTGAGGTAGTTACCACAGTGGCCACCATGTAGGAGGTACATGAGGACACAGAGACAACAAGAATCGTCCAGGGTCCCTAGATTGATGGGACAGGAGAGCCTGCGAGTGTCGCTCCCTTGACCTAAGAATTACTCAGTCTGTTGAAATGGTGGTGCTTTAGTTTCTTTATCTAAGAAATGGGGACTGTAGTAGTACAGTCGTGCCTTGGTGTCCTCAGGGGATTGGTTTTAGGACAACCCCCGATCCCCCCACCACGGATACCAAAATCCACAGATGCTCAAGTCCCTTGTACAAAATGGCCTAGTATTTGCATGTAAGCCTACGCATATCCTCCCGTACACTTTAAATCTTCTCTAGATTACTTACAATACCGGATAAAACGTAGATGCTATGTAAATAGTGGCCAGCTTGGCAGAGTCTAGTTTTGCTTTTTGGAACTTTCTGGAATATTTTCCCAAATATTTTCGTTCTGTGGTTGGTTGGATTCGTGGATGTGGAATCCGCAGATGTGGAGGGACATCTGTATTTACCTTCTAGGGTTGCCATGAGAGAATATGTGTACAGTGCTCAGAACAGTGCCCGGCCCACGATAAGCACTTACTAAATGTGGCTGGTATTGTATTACTATGTTATGTAATTAAAAAGTGACGAGGCAGGCGGCAGGACCCCAGGAGAACCGAAAATGGTACCTGGAGGGGCTGCTCAGAGGGCTCTCAGATGGGATGGTCATGGAGGGACAATGGGGGAGATGGAGGCAGGCAGGGCATGGGCTCCGGGCTGTGGAGTGGGGTGAAGGGAGGGTGAGCAAAGGAAAGTGTTTCCAAGAACTTTACATGAAGTTTAACCAGGTAATTTGTGTTGGGGCAATGATCTGGAGTTGGGCATTGTCAGAGGGAGCCGTCAGCACCAGGACCTAAGAACTACCAAAGAGAAGTGGAAACCGTTGAAAACGTGGATTGAAGTTGTAAATATGACATTGACTGAAGGCATTTGTAAAGGATGTGGAAGGATAGCATCCCACATGCACAAGTGCCGTCATGCAGATCCTTGCTATTCATCGCCTGGAATTTGTTTTATATGTTTTTGAACGTGGCATTCCATTCTGCATAGGTAGGCTGGTCCTGCGATGCCTAGGTGCTGTGGACACCTGCACACACCCTAAACATTTTGTGCCTGGCACAGACACCACAGGGTTAGATGTGCTTTTGGCTCAGATGGACCCAGTGGGCAGTTTAACTGGACATAAATGAAATGCTAAGAAAGCAAATTCATGCTACTGATTTGTACAAAGAAGCCAAATTATTATTTTACTGCAAGAAACATGACTATCAAGTATACTGAATACACACATTGTCCTGGTGGGAAGACTGACGTCACAGACTTGAAGAGCAGCCCGACTGTCAGAGCTGGACTCAGAAATCAGATAATTCACTCTCTCATCTGATGGATGAGAGACTAAGGGAATGATTGGCAAATAAGTACTTATAACCTGGAGAGTCCTTCTTGTTTCCGGGAACCCAGGATTCAAATGAGAATAAAGGCTTCCTTTTACAATAGGAAATCGCTCCCTGATTTGCGGGTTTCTCGGGTTTGCGTTTCTGCGTGTTGAGCTTTGAGAAGCTTGGACGCCTCACTAACAGGTTCTTCACCCCCCCTCCCACCCCCGCCAGGTGTCGGTGTCGGAGGTAAAGGCGGTGGCCAAGGAGCAGTTTGGGAATCTCCTTGCTGCCATGAGGAAGGCCCAGGGTGACATGATGCTTTTCTTGGAGGAGAAGGAACAAGCTGCCCTGGGCCAGGCCAATGGCATCAAGACCCACCTGGAGTACAGGAGCGCAGAGATGGAGAAGACCAGGCAGGAACTGGACAGAATCGCTGCCATCGGCAACCCCGTGCTTTTCCTGGAGGTATGGGCTGCCGTGCCGCTGATGCCAGGGAGACCTTCGCTCTGCTTGGCCTGTGGCGCACGGGGGAAGGGGACTGCCCGCTGATCAACGGGTGCGCAGGGAGCTGTGAGGGCAGAGAGGAGCTGAGTACAGGGGTACAGGAGGGAGGGCTTTCCAGAGCGGAGAGGCTGGAACCGGGTCGTGGAAGATGCATCCCGTGCCAGCAGAGGTAACGGCATGTGCAGAGGCAGAGAGGTTTGAGACAGCACAGCTGATGTGGGGAACTAAGGTGCTTTCACAAGGATGGGGTGTGAGACGCTGGGCACAGAGTGATGGGAGGCGAGGCTGGCGGGGCCAGGTGGGCATCTGGCTGTCGAAGCTTGTTCTTCATCGTGAAGTCACAGCAGCCCAGGGAGGACTTCAGCTGAGGGGTGATGAGCTCAGGCCTCAGTGAGCTTCATAAACCACTCCGACAGTGGAGGGATGCTTGCTGGGCCGGGGTGAGACCCGGGTCCTGCTGCCTTTCGGAGAGGGCTGCACATGCTGGGGGTGACTGAGGACAGACAGCCCAGCAGAGAAGATGAGACCTTTCATTACAATGTGCCATTCATTGTATGTTAAGCCACCTGCCCTCAGACGTTCCATCCTCCTGGATCTGTCACTAGAGCGCTGTGTAGTTTTTAGCAAGTCACTTAACCTTTTTGGGTCTCAAATTCCTCATTTATAAACAAGCAGGTCGGAGTCAATGATTTCCAAGGCTCCTTCAGTGCTAATATTCCTACATACAAATAATTCTTTTATTGCGTTTTGGGAAGATTCCCTTCTAGTTAACGGCAAACATAAATGTGTATTATGAAAAAAAGCCTTGGAAAATATGGAAAAATATAAAGGAACTCGATCATTCATATTCCCATCACCCAAGATAATCATCGTTAGCCTTGTAGTGAGTGAGAGAAAGAGAAGCAGACAGAGACAGACAGACATACCAAAGAATGTCTTTCAGTTCCTTTACTTTTCAATATCAAAACAAAGAAACTATGAAGAAAAATTTGGCTTCCCATGTCATGAGTTTCCTAAAGAGCATATAAATAATTTTAAAAAAGAAATAAAATCTCTTTATTTTTTCTCCTTTTGTAACTTTAACACAAAAACTTTAATATGTATAAAATATATTTTAGTATAGGACAACTTATTTTAGTTAAACATAACTTCTTTTCCCACAAATTTTTAGCCAATCGAAATGACATGTATTGTTCCCCCATGATTCTTTTTTTTAGAAATAGACCATTTTATTTTATTTTGTTTTTTATTTTTTCGCTGTGCCGTGCGGTATGAGGGATCTTAGTGCTCCAACCAGGGATCCAACCCTCGCCCCCTGCCTTGGAAGCGTAGAGTCTTAACCACTGGACCGCCAGGGAAGTCCCCCCAGTGATCTAAAATGTTACTTTTATCATGTATGGCACTAATTCTACATATGGTGTTAAAATGTTCATTTTCCTCCCTGTCTACTCTCTGGCTTGGCCTCGTTCTTCTCTTCCATTATTAATCTAACCATTCTGGTACAACTGTTTTCATCACTAAGGTTTCTGCCGTACCCACTCTGTAATTCAGTGCTTCCATTGCATTTGAATTTTGATAATGTGTTAACACCTGGAAGCAACCTTTCCTGATCACTGCAGAGTTTTGAAGCATGAGAGGCTTAATGTGATTATCTGTGTGAAAACACTTTTCAAACTCTAAAGCACAGAACAAGAATTAGAGAACACGGTGTATTGGATTGAACTGACCAGGAAAATGCAGCAGCAAGCACTCCCGCCTGAGGACTTGTCTGTGAATCTTCCAAGTGCTACACCCGTTCCTCCGTCCCTGTCGTGGTTTGTGTTTAAATTAGTTAAAAAAAAAAAGAAAAGTACTGATAGAATGAAGGTTGCAGGAATGTTACCGCCATCTGCGCTGTTGGTGTAACACGTTTGTTCTTCGATTCCCTGTCTGGGCTGTGTATTGCATCTGCTCGTGGGTGCCTAGTATCTCTTGATTTTTAAAAGTCCACTTTCCCAGTTAAAAAACACGAATGCTTTCTACATTATCAGACGCTGAGCTGGACCCATTACACACACATTCTTTGTGAAGTGCACGTCACCATCAGTCTCTTTTACAGATGAGGAAGGTGCCGTATTGAGGAGGGCAGTCCTGTTTAAGAAGCACAAAAGCCAGGGCAAGTTCTGCCATGTATCCTTTCCTGCAGGAGTACTGCAAGTTCAAGAACATGAAGGACGATGCTTTCCCCAGTGTCTACATTGGACTCAAGGACAAGCTCTCGGGCATCCGCAAGGTCATCACGGACTCCACTGCACACCTGATCCAGTTGCTGCAGAACTACAAGGAGAAGCTCCAGGAGTTCTCCAAGGAAGGTGAGAAGCTGTGGCTTGTAGTGTCTCGGAGGGGCTGACGCGGGAGGTGGGAGTTGGGAGGGAGAGCAGAACCGGGGAGCTTCTCATTTTCAGAGCCATCCTCTGGCTAGCCGTGCTACTGATGGACACTTACCTTGATGACAGAGACCAGAGGATGTGAGTCAGTCACATCACGCCCTCGGCCAGCATCTCCGAGACTAGCTTCCGAGGTTGCTGATGCCTGTACTTTCAAGGGAAATGCAAGTCAGGCTGGGGTCTTTCCTCGGCGTGTTTTACTTTAGTGTGGTCCATTGAGCAGGGGTCTCTGACACGTGACTAGTGTCCGGGCCCTTCTTCCCCGAGGAAGCCCAGGGAAGAGGGGCTGGGGGTTCCTGCTTCTTAGGTTCTCCTGCCCACCTGGACAGGTGTGCATTCATAATTCTCTGCTTTTCTAGAGGAGTACGACATCGGAACTCAGGTGTGTGCCATCACTGAACACAAACACTGGACCTCAGAACCGGAGCCCAGCACCAGGCAGCAGTTCCTCCTGTGTAAGTCGTGAACAGCTTCCCTTTCCCTGGGTGTGGGTGTACGTGTGAGGCTTTGGAAGCAAGGATGCCGTCTCTCATGTAGGTTTCAGGTTCTTGCAACATCAGGGTCTATGCCCAAATGGTACATTTTAAAAAGTTTAATTTAAAAAAAGTTTGAACTTTTCATTTTGAAACAGTTTCAAACTTACGAAAACATTGCAAAAAGAGGACCAAGAATTCTTGTATACCTTTCATCCGGTTTTTCCAAACGTTAACACTTTACGTTACGACGGTCCACTGATCCAAACTGGAAAATGAAATTACTGCAAGTCTATTAACTAATCTATGGAATTTATTCAGGTTTCACGAGGTATTCCTCCCAGTGTCCTTTTTCTGGCTGCAAGTCCGGTCCAAGGTCACAGATGTTTCTTTGTCTCCAGTCTGGGTCCAGTCCCTTTGTCCTTCTGTGTCCTTCATGACCTTGGCCCTTTCAAAGATCCTGGCTAGTTCCCAAATGGCTCCCTGTTAAGTCTGACTTGGCCAGAACTGCAAAACCCATTGTCCCGTCATGATGTGGGAGTGTCCTGGGCTGTCAGCACTTTTGAAAACACGTTATTTCCAATCAATACTTCCTTATGGTTAACAAGGCAGGGAGGTTTCATCTCCCAGGAGAGGAAGGGCTGCATCTGGGTAGTCAAGGCTCACTTTTAGGACATGCAGCTGCTTCATCTCTTTGGAACGTGCCGTTGAACCCTGCTTCTGCTTGCTTTCTGGGGGTGAGCGCTGGCTGACCAGCTCCTGAGGCCCTTTTGCTCTGGTCGTGACGTGGAGCCTCGGGTTCGATGACTGTCTCCTGTTCTTTCCACAGCTCCTCATTTTCCCCAGGACCTCTCGGTTTCCACACAGTTTCCTTGATTTATTCTTTCCTGCTTCCTGACACCAGCACGTCTATTTTTTTAAAAAATAAATTTATTTATTTATTAATTATCTATTTTTGGCTGCGTCGGGTCTTCGTTGCTGCGCGCGGGCTTTCTCTAGTTGCGGCGAGCGGGGGGCTACTCTTTGTTGTGGTGCACGGGCTTCCCATTGCGGTGGCTTCTCTTGTTGCAGAGTGCGGGCTCTAGGTGTGCGGCTTCAGTAGTTGTGGCGCGTGGGCTCAGTAGTTGTGGCACATGGGCTTCAGTAGTTGTGGCTCACGGGCTCTAGAGCTCAGGCTCAGTAGTTGTGGTGCACGGGCTTAGTTGCTCCGCGGCATGTGGGATCTTCCCGGACCAGGGCTCGAACCTGTGTCCCCTGCATTGGCAGGCGGATTCTTAACCACTGCGCCACCAGGGAAGCCCCACACGTATGTTTTACTAACAGATATAGTTAATACAAGAAGCCAAACACCTTTTGTGCTTAACATTAAAATAAAAGTGAACCACATCCTATTATAATCTGTTTTCTGTTGCATGACAGTCGTCTCTTTTCATGCATGACATTAACTTTTGCTCCTAGAGTATTGCTGTGAACTTGTAGCCTTTTATGGACTCAGATCATTTCACCTGTCCAAGTTCTGTCAAATTGCCAACTTGACTGGCCAGTGGGAGCCACTTGTAAGCTGGCCTCTGTGACCTTTAAGCCTTGACCTTCTGCCCTTGAGATTCTAAAAAGTATTGCAGCTTTCTGGCACTAACAGAATGTTCCAGACCCATTCTGGTTTTCTTGTCCCAAGGCATAGAATCACCTACCCTGTAAGGAGCCCTAGGTCCCCCTAGATGAGAAGAGTACTAACGCACTCATTCATTAGGCACGTGTATACCGAGCATCTTCTCAGAGCTAGAACCCCAGGATAGAGTCCCGCATAAAATGTGGAGCTGACAGAATAAAAGGAGAACATTCACGAAACAAGCACACTGATAAATAATTACACATTGTGATGAGTACCAGGAAGTTATAAAGCCAGGGTGCTCCGAGAGACATTGACAGGCAGGCATGGAGACCTCTTTGAGGACAGACTCACAACCGCAATCCGAACGGATCAGTCGGGATCTCCCTGACTCAGGTCAGGGCGAGGACCCCACCGCGGAGGGAACGGTCTGTGCCGAAGCCGCCTGAGCGGGTTCAGCGTTGGGTGGGTCTGAGGTCAGGGTGCTGGAGTGTGGAGGTCAAGGGGGAGAGGGCAGGAGACGAGGTTGCTGAGGCAGGCAAGCGCCAGTCTTGCAGGGCCGGGAGGCCAGGGAGGCGGGTCACCGCTTTTTCCTGAGGGCAGGGGCGCCATCAGAGGCTGTAAGCTGGGGCGACGCGATTCAGCTCAGCTGGCTCCCTGAAGCGAGCTCCTGTCGGGGAGAAGGTCTGGGCGGGGGAGGCAGGAGAGAGCACCCCGACCAGCGTGGGGCTACTGCACGCGCTGGGGGAGATTTGGGGGTGGCTTAGATGGGGGTGAAGCAGGGCACTGAGAGGACTCAGGGCTGCCTGTGTGTGTGTGGTGGGACAAGACGTGGGAGGATGAGGGAAAAGAAATGGAGTGTGACTTGGGCACCTGGGTGCGTGGAGGTGTTGTTCTCTGGGACCAGGAAGAGAATGTGTGGGGCAGGGGACTGCTTGAGGGTTCCCCTGCTGAATATTGGCCAGACATTTTAACAAATGAGTGAATCAAATGTGGGTGTATGAGTGCCTGTCTGCCCCAAACCCTTGCCAATGCTGGGTAGAAAAGTGCCTGGATTTCAGGACGTATTTGTCGAATGAATGAAAGCATGAGCCCATCCGTAGGTTTTATTTCTTGATTCAGTTCAGCAAATAATACAGCAAATTCCAAGCAATTTGAGCTTCAGGAAGGAAGGAGGTGGGGTCTGGGACCACTTACGACCTGCGTGGGCGAGGTGTCCCCCGCAAGCAGTTCTCCGTGACACTGGCCTGGCGTCCCACAGTTTAACTTGGTTCTGGCACTGCCTGGAGATGGCGTCAGATCCCACAGGATGGCTCCCACTTCAGATGCCAGTCGCCAAGTATTGGGTCCCCAGGTGACGGACAGCTTCTGTCCGACTTGGCTACAAATCAGAGGTTCCCAGGACCCCCCCCCCCCCGCCCCAACCCTTGGACTCGAGCATTTGCTAGAACAGCTCACAGAAGTCAGGGAGACATTTACGTTCACCAGTTTATTAAAGGATGTGGTAAAGGACACAGATGAGCAGCCAGATGGAGAGAGAGAGGCACGGGGCAAGGCCGGGGAGGGTCCCGATTTCAGGAGCTTCTGTCCCCATGGAGATGGGGTGCATCGCCTTCTGGTGTGGATGTTTGCCAACCTGGAAGCACTCAGAACCCTGCACTATTGAGATTTCATGGAGGCTTCATCTCATAGGCATGATGGCCCACTAACTCCATTTCCAGCCCCTCTCACTTCTCATGAGATAGGAGTTAGGGCTGCAAGTTCCAAGCTTCTAGTCATGACTTGGTCTTTCTGGTGACCAGCCAGCCCCCTCCAGGAGCCCACCCAGAGTTGCTTCGTCAGAACAGAAGATACATTTATAACCTGGGAAATTACAAGGGTTTCAGGAGCTCTGTGTCGGGAACAGGGGCCAAAGACCAAATATTAGAACAACAGATGGTCCTAGTGCTCTTATCACTCAGGAGATCGCAGGGAGCTTTGTGCCGGCAACCGGGAACCAGAGACCAAATATATATTTATTATAAATCACAATATCACACTTGCGTTCTGTTTTCTGGTTTTCACCCACCTCTTTTCTGGGAAGGAACAGGGATCTGGGAGACGGATGTCTTTTCGTCCTTTGGAGGCTCGCTAGGTTTGAAGTGTTGGGTCTGAATCAGCTGTCGGTCCCTGACTTTCTGTATCCCCTCAGATGCCTGTGACATTGCCTTCGACCCCGACACGGCACACAGGTACCTCCGGCTGCAGGAGGACAACCGCAAGGTCACCAACACCACGCCCTGGGCGCACCCGTACCCGGGCCTCCCCAGCAGGTTCACACACTGGCGGCAGGTGCTGGCCCAGCAGAGCCTCTACCTGCACAGGTACTACTTCGAGGTGGAGCTCTCCGGGGCGGGCATCTACGTGGGCCTCACGTGCCAGGGCATCGACCGCAAGGGCGAGGAACGCAATGGTTGCATTTCCGGAAACGACTTCTCCTGGAGCCTCCAGTGGGATGGCAAGGGGTTCAGGGCCTGGCACAGTGACACGGAGACCCCACTCAGGGCCCGCCCTTGTCAGAGGCTGGGGGTCTATGTGGACTTCCCCGGAGGCGTCCTCTCCTTCTACGGCATTGAGCCGGAGGCCATGACGCTGGTGCACCGTTTCGACTGTAAGTTTTCGGAGCCCGTGTACCCAGCCTTCTGGCTTTCCAAGAAGGACAACGCCATCCGGATTGCGGATCTGGGAGAGGAACCCGAGAAGCCGGCACCGACCCCGGTGGAGCCTGCACCCTAGATGCCGGGGTCCAGAGCCCAGACCTGTGCTGACACACAGACGGGGTGGCAGCTTGCATTTTAAGGCTGACTGGGGGGCAGAATCCCTGCCAGCGGTTGCTGGCTTTAGAAATCACGTGGGTCACAGGATGAGGGGAAGGGTCTCTGGCCGCCGTCTTGGGCTCCGTGCGGCACTGTTCCCCACGTTTGCAATAATCCTCAGGCCCTAAGTCCCCCTCGCCATCTTCTCGTGATGTCCTGTCTGCGCGGGTGAATGGCGCACTGTGCCCAGAGGTGGTCACCAGGAATCCTCAGAACCGTCAGAAAGACTGCAGAGGAATCAGAATAAATCGCTAACTTTATCCCGCTTCCCCCGCATCCCCGGTACTGTCCTGAGCTCCTCCCGTGCGTCAGCCCTCGTGGCTCTCATGGCAGCCCCGTGGGGTAGCTGCTCACACCGTCCCCATTTTGCAGGTGGGGAAGCTGTGGTCCGGTGGGGGTCAGTGAACTTGCTCAGGGTTACGTGGTCACGTGGTGCGTGAGTGGCCGAGCCGGGATTCAGACCTGGGAGGGCTGACGTTGAACTTCTAACCCCGACCCCACGCTGCCTTGCTCCTTAGACGGTGGGTGTTGTGTGCACGGGAATAAACCACATCATGAACTGCGTTCACAGGAGTAGAGCGTCTTACGGCCTCCGTCGCTTTGCACCCGCACGTCTGACCGGGCCTTGCGGCTGTGCCATGATGGAGAGCTCACTACCTCACCTGGAAGCTCACCTGGTTTGGGGACAGTGAGGATTGCAGGAATGTCTTAGTGGGGTCCGAGTCCTATAGTCCCTGTGACCTCAGGCGACGGGGCTCCTTCCTCGCTCCTGGAGCCACCCGGACGGTGTGGACGCGTCTGATTCCTCATTCAAGGGCAGTTCTCCACGTGTTTGGGGGCAGCTCTCACACCGTCCCCCCCGGGAATTATTCTTGGCTTCTCACTCTATCTCCCACTTTCCTTTGTGGTTTCCGGACCTTCTACTCCTCTGATCACATCCCCCTCCTTTCTTCAGACGCGCTCCCTAAGATTAATGATATACATTCATCAAACCTTTAGGCAAATGACAAACTGTATTTAAATGGGTTTCTGAGGACATAACCTGAGGCCCCTTTCGGGATTCCCTGGAAATATAACTTCTGGGTCTTTTCCGTGACCTGTGTCAAGTCAAGTCCCTTCCTCTTTGGCCAGTCTGACGGTCCTGTGTCAAGAGTACTTCACTTCAGCGTCACTCGACTCGTTTCCAGAGACCCTGCCCTACATTTGAATTCTAGGATTTATATAGTATAGGATTTGAATTTTTTAATTGAATTTAAAAGCTTTGAATTTTATTGACCTTGAAAATATTAAAAAAAATTTTATTGGTGTATAGTTGATTTACGATGTTGTATTCGTTTCTGCTGTACGGCAAAGTGAATCAGTTATACATACACATATATCCACTCTTTTTTAGATTCTTTTCCCATATGGGCCATTACAGAGTATTGAGTAGAGTTCCCTGGGCTATACTGTGCGTCCTTAGAAATTTTTAAATTTGCATTTTAAATTTCATCACATCATTGCTGCTTGCGGAGATAGTTTTATTCATGACTCTGTGCCCAGTGTAATAGCTCTCCTTCCTAGCCCGGTGTCACCTACAGAATTGGTAACCTTTTCTTCTTAAATCTTACTCTTGTTGATATACATATTGATTAGGTTGATACCTATATTGATTAGAATTTTGCAGTCCTCAGCCAATATCTTTTGGGTTTAGTTATTCAGTAAGTTATGCATCAGTAGAATTGTTTGCTAATGTAGCCCACCTTATGGCCCTTTATCCACTGCACACCATGAAGGACTTTTCAGTGGCAGAGATCAGGATATACTATGTCAGCACTTCCTCTCTAATGATGCCCTCTAGGGGGAAAGCGAGATCAGCTTGGCTGGGTTGTTGATTGCTCCTTACTTTCTTCCCCAAATGCTCACATAATATTTGACAAACCATTTTAGAATTCTGGTGTAAGTTCACACATCATCTGCTGTTTCCAGAATCTACCTTTTTCTTCTTTTAAAAAATCAAGACAACGTTGCCTGTCTTCATCCTCCACCATTCTCCCTAATTTCTCAAAATTTACTGCCTGGATTTCAGTCACGTTGGTAAACTGTGTCAGTGTCGTGAGATGTAATTCGTTTAGGCCACACTCAGATTCATAAAAGGAACCCTTTGGGTGTCTCCTTACCTGTTTTGAACTTCAGTTCCTCTTTTTGTCCACTCACTTTTGGTTTTAAGACCTTTCTTCTCGAGATAGAAGATCAAAGCAAAATTGAGCATTAGCATTGCCTTAAGCGATGGGCATACCTTTTTTCTTCCCCTGGGTCCAAAAACTGAAAATCGCCTAAAACAAACAAAATAAAAAATTAAAAAAGATAACAAAGGCCAATTTTACGCCCTCTGTCATTTTCCCCAAGCTGTGTCAGTGTGTGCCACTCTTCTGGATGTCCCACAGAAGCCTCCACGGTCTTTGGCAACTCCCTAAACATAGACAGGAACATATAATAGCAGATGCAGCTGATCCGACATTCCAGAGGTTCTGGATCCTCTTTCCTCTTCACACCCACCGCTGGCTGCCACGTTCCTTCACTGAAGTTTTGCTGAGGCCCTCGGGTTTCCTCTAAAAAGCTTAGGTTTGGGGACTTCCCTGGCGGTCCAGTGGTTCAGACTCCACGCTTCCACTGCGGGGTCGGGGGGCTCTGGTTTGATCCCTGGTCAGGGAGCTAGGATCTCGCCTGCCTTGTGACGCCGGCAAAAAATAAAAATTAAAAAAAATTTTAAAGCTTAGGTTTTTAAAGTTAATGATGAGTAGGGAGGGCTTTGGCATTTTGAGGACCGTTCCCCATTTCTTACCTCATTTAATCTTTGCAGCCCTGTGAGATAGGGAGTATTTTTCCTGTTCTATGGAATGAAAATGAAAAGGTTGGCGGCTCAGAGAGGCAAAACTTGGTCAAGGACGCTCAGTAGGACGTCCTGAAAAAAACGTTTGTGTTTATTTCTAAAACGAGGTTACATTCACAGGTTCTGAGACATGAACATCAGTGGTTCTCAGAGTGTGGCTTCCTGACCAGCAGCATCGGCACCACCTGGGAACCTATTAGAAAAGCAAATTCTCGGGCGTCAGCCAGACCCGCTGAATCAGAAGCTCTGGGGCAGTGTTTTAACAAGGCCTCTGGGCGTTCTGATGCAGACTTTGGTTTGAGAACCTCTGTCTGCCCCATCTACTCTCTTGAGTCTGTTCCACCCTTCATACCAATGGCAAGTGGCCGTGAGTTTCCGAACAAGCAGGAAGTCACCCGACCTCTTTGAGGACCTGGCCGTGTCAGCCAGGTCAGAACTTTTCTGTGCTCTCGTGTTTCTCCCCCTCCCGGAGAGGGAGACATTTCTAGCCAATGCCCTCGTTCCCCACCTGCTTCTTTTTTTTTTTTTTTTTTTTTTGTGGCGGTACGGGGGCCCCTCCTTGTTGTGGCGTCTCCCATTGCGGAGCACAGGCTCCGGACGCGCAGGCTCAGCGGCCATGGCTCACGGGCCCAACCGCTCTGTGGCATGTGGGATCTTCCCGGACCGGGGCACGAACCCATGTCCCCTGCATCGGCAGACGGACTCTCAACCACTGCGCCACCAGGGAAGCCCCCCACCTGCTTCCCTTTAAACCAAAGGGCAAATGGCAACTGGAAACTCCACGATTTCTCAGGAACGAAGACTTGTCTCAGTTAACTTTGCCAACAAGTGTGACACCACCTGATGGGCAGGCGGTGGCTCAAACACGACGGTTTTCCCACCTTTCCTCTTGAGAACGATCCTAGTACAGCTTTTCCCATGTGATCAAGTGCCTTTGCAAACACATTACCCGCCTGTGAGCGAGGTGGACTCACGATCTCCATCTACAGAGGCGGGCAGCCGAGGGCGGCAAGGGAGTCGCGGGGTGGAGGTATGTTTGCTGCTCCGTAGCCGAGACCCTCCTGCTCTGCAGCCGGAGCCCTTCCCTGATTTCCCGCCATCTGACCCAGGTCAGGTGCTGGGTGGGAACCAGCAGAACCTCAGGTGCACGTCGTTGGGCAGGACAGCGGAGCCGATGAGGGTACAGCAGCCATGCCTTCTGGGGCTCGCTATGCCATGCAGGGGGCGGGCAGAGGAAGTGAAGGTTTGGGGGCGGTGTAGGCTTTAATCAGAGTCATGAACAAAACAGAATGCAAAGGGCAGAAGGCAGCTCGGGGACTGCGTGGAGCCTGCAGGCTGCTGGTAGCTTGGATATTTGAGAAATCTCCAGATGTACGTCTCAGCACCAAAGCTTTCCTCTGAGAAGTGTTTTCCCCTCCTGGGTCTTACTCCAGCGAGACCTGTTTGCCCGCCTACCTCTCTGGGTACCACCGGCGCCACTTCCCCACCACTGGCTTACCCATCAGGCCGTCGCATCCCGCCATCCGCCAAGGTCACATTCTAAACTCTAACATCCGATCTCAAATGGCTCCAGTGTCCCTGCCTGAGCCGGCTGACATGCCGTGTGTGCACGTGTGTGCGTGCTCACACCTGTGTATGTGGGATGCAGCAGCAGCAGAAGTAACCACCAGGCTTAGTTACACTAACGAATGTAAGCCTCACCCTGCAGGGCACTGGTGATCACACATCTTCTACAGAGGAGGAGAGATGGGGGCCCAGAGGGGCCGAGGGGCTTGCCCAAGGCCACAGCCCTAGTAAGAAAGCAGCAGGATTCCAGCCAATCTCTGACTCCAAGGCTGAGTTGGATTGTAAAACTGCTCCCTTGAAGTATGTCAGCTTCACAGATGAAAATCCTCATTTATTTGGACCTTTAGGAACAAGCTATTGTATTTTCAGCTTGTAGCATTTCTGGGGCTAATGTGCCCCCTTTTATACTCAGGTGCTTTGGGCCTCCCTCCTCTGTCTGGCCTTCCTGGTGGGTGAGATGCTAATCCACTCTGGCCTTTTCTCCAGGCATCTGTCAGTTAGAGGAGCTTGAGCTGTTAGCACTGACCTCCTTCCCGGCCTGGTTCCTGTCCCCACCCCCACTCTTTACAAGACCTTCACGGCCAACCAACCCAGCGATGACTCACGCTGCCTTTCTCTATCGGTGCCCGGTCGCCAGACGCGGGCGCTAGACATGCTCACGGTATTGCCAACCTTTTGGTTTAATGCGGGGTAGTAATAACAACACCAAGAGCAGAGGCAACTGGCCTCACACATTTGATCTGATGGTAGAAGGTAGCGTAATTTCCATCATCTGCCTTCATCTCCTCCTTCCTCATCATCAGTAAGATGGAGAAACTGAGGCTCGGAGAAGCCAGGCAGGGAGCTCATGATCGTCCAGCTCCGTGGTACCAGAATCAGTGTGTGAACCTGGTCCCACCTGAAGTAGAGTTGTCTCAGTGTGTCCTCAAAACTCTTTTCTGGGTTGTCCTACGTTTGCAAGGGCATTTTGGCTGCGGTGGTGAGCTGAGGGGCTATGGTTACGTAGTAGTCTTTTACAGTCATTTTTCCTAATTTAGCAGTATAGCTTTATTAGTTATTTTGAAAATTTTCAAACCTGTGAAAAGCTGAAAGAATAGAATGATGAACACTCATATGTTCTTCACCCGCTTCACCAGTTATTAGCAGTTTGTTGCATTTGTGCTCTCTTTCTGTGTATGCACATATACACACTGAATATGTGTGTAGTGTGTGTGTGTGCGTGTGTGCGTATTTTTCTCAGACCTTTTGAAAATTATTTGGAGACACTTCATTGTGAGTACGTCAGCATTTAGGAGTGATTTTCAAGCTGTTTTCTGTGGACTCTCTGGGTTCTCTGGAGCTGCTGCTAATTTAAATTTTGTGGAGTCTGAAGCTGGTGTAAGACAATGTCTGTCATCTTTGGCCTCTGGTGTAGAGGTTTTGTCTTCAGAATAGCCCCGTGGCTCTCAACAACTGCCCTGCTAACAAGTCAACTTTTGAACTTATAAATTTGTACTAATAGACTGTCACTATGTCTATGTTGCATGTTGGGTTTTTACAGAAGATATAATTTGCAAACAGGCTTTTGTTACTAAAAAGTTTTGGAAATCTCAGTGAGCCCCTGGTCTCCTTCTGGGTCATCACTGACCATCTTTCGGGGGCCCCGAGGGCCGTGTGTGCTCACGTGTTTGGCTGTAATGGCCCAAGTCACCACTTCTGAGTGGATCCCAAGGCAGTGCTAAATGGTAATGATCTCATGAAACAGGTAAGTCACTGTCATGTCATTTTTCTTTTAAAAGCTCCGCACATACTGTTTCTTCCCATGCATCTCAATGTCTGTACCTATGCATGTATAAACATCATAGTGGACATTGATTATGCGGCTGCCCAGAATAATGATCCCAATGACAATAATACTGATGACAGTAGGACGATAGTTAGCATTTATTGGGGGCTGAATATGTACCAGGCAGTCTTCTAAGTGCTTTGCATATAATACCCCATTTCATCCTCACACTGCCTCTGAAGTAGGAACTACTGTTGTTTCCATTTTACAGACGAGGAGACTGAAGCATAAAGGGTTAAGTAATGTGCCCGTGTTCACAGAGCTAGTGAGCAGCTGGGCTGGGGTCCAAACCCAGGAGTCTGACCCCAGACCCCACACTCCGCTCAGCTGTGCTTCCTCCCAGATACCTGGGTTGGTGTGTGATTGAGGCTAGAAGTCCCCAAATATATTCTCAGGCCCACAGACATTTTTTTCCACCAGGGAGTTTTCCCTGCAGAGGTTTCTGGTTAACCTTCTGAAGCAGTTAAGTAACAAATATATATTAAATATTTGTGTTTTCACTTTGATGATGAGTTAAGAAGATGACCATAAACATATTCAAGATCATTCTAACCAGCCATACACAGACGTTTCCATCTAATTTCATATTCAGAAATATTTAAAAGTCACTCACAAACAGCAACAATGGAAGCTCAACACCAGGCTCCACGATGTTTTTTTTTCCCCCTTTGAAAGGGGTCCATACATTATTTAAATTTGACTACCTCTCTTCCTGTTGTTCTACAAACGACATGACCGGCTCTTTCAGAATATACAGCAACTGCCTCCTCCTGAGCAGCGCCAGGCTTAGGAGATTTACGGTAAAGGCATGTTTCCTAGGAGGTCGGTACGGAAAGCCAGACTCAACGGCAGTTTCTGGGGAGAGCAGCCTTCTGCCCATTGCAGCAGTTTCCTTTTTCTTTGGGAGGAAGAAAAGGCTCAATTGGGATATTTATCAGCCTCTCCTGTTCCTCTGGGGTTTGGTGCAGTTGACAACCGGCAAGGATCAAATGAGCGGGTCGTCTCGGGACCATGGAAAACATGGCATCGAGGCTCAAGAATGCCCCTTATTTTCTATGTGAGAAGGGGAACAATTCTGTCCCCGTGTGCCAGAAGTGTGAGACGTGTGTCCTGGCCTGGAAGATCTTCTCCACCAAAGAGTGGTTCCGAAGGGTGGGCAAGATGTCCCAGAGGAGGTTTCTAGTCAGCATCCTGCAGCAGCTGGATAGCTTGCATTTGTTACACTATTTTCAAAATATCCTTCAGACCACGCAGGGGAAGGATTTTGTCTACCACAGGTCCCGGGTCAACCTCAGCAAGAAGGAGGGGAAAATCATCAAGTCCTCCTTGAACCAAATGCTGGACAAGATGGTGGAACAGAAGATGAGGGAGATTTTGTACTGGTTTGGGAACAGCAGCTACCGGACGAAGACGAATTACACACTCTTGCTGCTGCAGGTGTGCGACCCCGAGTTACTGCTCACTGCTGTTGACGTCATCAGAGTCCTGTTTCTGAGAGGGCGGAACGATGCCTCAGGTGAGCGAGGCCACAGGTAGAGACCTAAGGGTCCCCAGAGACCAGGAGGCCAGACTTCAGGAGCCTGTCAAGGAATGGGAGGTGTGGACAAGCTTAGGTAGACGGGGATCTTCCAGATTGCAGAACAGAGCGCTTTGTCCTGACACCTGATCCTGTTGACCGAAGGAGAAGCTGCTGAATGGGACTTCCTTCTAGAAAATTCTAAAAGGACAAATGCAGAAGGAACTTTCAACTGTCAGGCTTTTCAAAGGGATTTCTGCCTCCCTTAGGCCCAGAAGTGGCGGGTCTGCGCCTCTGCTGCTTAATGCTGGGGCGGTTCCTGCTTTAGCGGGTTAGGGGTTGAAGCGGGTTTGAGAAGGTGGTAAGGGGGGTGCTCCTGAGTTGTCTTGCCCTTCGGTTTGCACTGCACAGAAACTAGGCCAAGAGGTCATTCATCCCACTGTGTTCCTTGCTTGCACATAAAGTCCAACCTCGACTTGGAGTTTATCCAAGGCTGGAGGTAGTGGAGGGGCCAAATAAGGCTGGGGTAGGCGTTCTCGATCGTCGCTTGTATCAGAATCACTGGGAGGGCTTATTAAAACCCAGGTGGCCGGGGTCCTCCCTGAAAGGTCCTGACCCAGCAGGTGCGATGTGGGCCACGAGTCTGCATGTCTAAAAAGTTCCCAGCGGATGCTGCTGCTGGTCTGGTGACCTCACTTTGAGAGCTGGTGGTCTAGGGTGTCGGTGACAAGGTCTTGGACATGTTTGGCCAGCTGGACTGGGGCAGCAAAAGCAACCAGAAAGGAGGCAAGGGACTGGGGGTTGCAGGGGGTCCAGTACGAGAAGCAGAGGATTAGCAGACTGGGACAAGGCTGGGAGAGGGCGTCAGATGGAGGGATTCAGAGGTTGAGCTCTTGAGGGCGGGGAATTCCTGCTGTCCACGAGACCTAGTTTGTGGTCCTGTTTGCAGACTCATAGAATCCCGGGAAAGTTTAAAGCTACGTGACCTTGGGGGCAGTTAGATCCCGTTATATGCCCTTGATTTCTTTGGTGTGTCCAGGAAGTAAAAGAATAATCATCTGGAATGAAGAAGTGGTGGAGAAAATCAGAGGATCCCATAAGTTAGATTAGAGATTGATCAGTCCAGCTCCTTCATTGTATAGGTAAGGAAGTCGAAGTTCAGGGAACCTGAGTGATTTGGCCGTGGTCACGCAGTCGCGGGGTTGAAAACCAGGCCCCCCATCCTGATCATCTCCCATGGGCAATGCTGGCCCCCGGACAGGGGCGGCAGGCTTGAGTAGCCTCATCTGTACACACAGGTCCTCACCCACCACAGGAATCAGCTCCTTGTATTAAAAGTTGTGTAAGTCCAGTTACGGGGTGTGGCAACCTTCCCCTTTTCCTAGGGGAGCTTCTCTCTTAAAAATTAAATTTTCTAGGACTTCCCTGGTCATCCAGTGGTTAAGACTCTGTGCTTCTCCTGCAGGGGGCATGGGTTCGATCCCTGCTGGGGGAAGTTCTGCATGCAGCGCGGTGCGGCCAAAAAGAAAGAAAAAAAATTAAATTTTCTAATTTGACTCAAGGGCATTTATTCATATCATTGAAGAACATGACGCAAAAGCTTCAGAAAAGCAGTCCCTCTTCCAGCTCCTCGCTCTCTCTCTTCCTCTTTCCCTCCCTCTCTCCCTCTCATTCTCTCTCTGTCCTCCTGTATATAGAGCTCTGATGCAGTTTGCAGTGCAGGTGGGCTGGCAAAGGCTAACAGAGGCTCTCTGTGATTTTTATGTAGAAACTCAGAGGCCCCAAATAAAAACAGACACAACTGGCCTGGTCCGCTTTGTGTCGATGAAAAAGAAGCCAGTAGAAATAACACCATCTCTCTCTACCACTTCCTCTCCACACACCTGTACGGAAGAGCCACTCATCTTGGCCTTTTGTTTTTCAGGGAACGACCCAGACCCCAAGGATGTGCTTTTCGTCCCTGAGAAAGGCCACACGCCCCCGTGCGAGACCTCACAAGTCTGCTGGGCAGCCAGATCCGGGCACACATCCTTCCCGTTCTCCAAAACTACAGGAGAAGCCAGCTTGCACGAAAATGTGTCGTGGGGAGCAACCGCTACTGGTAAGCCTGCTGGTAGGAGGAAAGCCGATGGGGAGGGAGTCCCGTGGAGACGGAGGGGCTGGTAGGGCAGCCATATCTGGGGAGGACAGAGGTGGGCAACTGACATTCCCTTGTCACCTACGAAGTGGGTTGGGCTCTGTGATATTTATTCCCTCATTTAATCCCACATCTGGTAAGGAGAGAAACAAGGATTAAAATCAGTCAGTGCGGGACTTCCCTGGCAGTCCAGCGGTTAAGACTCTGCGCTTCCCCTGCAGGGGGTGCGGGTTCGATCCCTGGTCGGAGCTAAGATCCCACGTGCTGTGGGGCGTGGCCAAAAGATAAAATAAAATCAGTCAGTGTGAGCTTAAGTCCCCTTTTGCCCCAGGCCGGAATCTCTCGGTCCAGCCCCTGACCTCTGGTGTGGGGGGATAGGGGGAGGGGCACCTCCAGAATCCAACCCACCAGGAGCTATTTTTGCAGCATTGGATTCAGTCTTGAGGTGGAAACAAAAGCAGTGGGGAATTGGGCCCTGACCTCAGGGCCGTCCTCACTTGGGTTTTGAAGCAAGACATATACACGGAAAAATTACGGGAAACACAAAACATAGATTCAGAAACGCTTTGTATACAGAAATTTTCAAGTTTCAAAAGTAGGTAGAACGGTGTAATCATTACCCACATAACCGTCATCCAGCCTCAATAATTATCACCGCCTTACCAATCTTATTTCCTCCAACCCCCTCTTTTGAAATTGCGACTTTTTCTTGTTGGGCTCATTTAGAGGAAACTCCAGACACCATGCCATCTCACCAGCAGGGCAGTTTGGAGGCCACAGACATCGACTTGAGCTGGGAACGTTGAAAACTGCTGGTGCGTTTGGTTGGGGAAGCTCTGTTTTCATTTTGGCGGAAGAAATGGCCAAACCCCGGTGGCCTCAGGGTAGACCCTGGTGAGCTCTGTTTTGGGGAAAGCTTTTGGCAAGGACTTGCTCTCGGCCTGGAGTCACCCCAAAGACGCCCCAACCGTGCCCCCTTCTCCGGCTTTCCTCTAGAAGGACAGTGGAAGAGTTCACTCCAGTATATTTCCGAGATGAATAGGCTGTCTTCTGAAAAAGCAAGCGTGTTCAAAGCAGGCTTGGCCCCCGCCGCCGATGTGCTGGTGGATCTGGAGGCTGTCAGAGAGCTGTCTTCTGGGGTCAGCACATACCGCGACTTCATCCGTCACCTGCCGGTCCATCTCTCCAAGTATATCCTCGGTACACGGGGCCTGTTGGGGGATTTCTCAAGACTCGCCCCCCCACCCCACCCGCCACCATCGCAGCGCAGTTGGGAGGTCCCCAGGTCCACCTCTTGTTTTCCAGGTATGCTGGATAAGAACAGCCTGAACAGGTGTGTGTTCGTGAGCCAGCACTGGGCAGTGCTGGCACAGCAGGTCAGGACCGACCTGTCCATGCAGTCTTTCATCCAGCACCAGATCACCGTACTGCAGGTACTTTCTTTGGGAGGGGACAGCTGTAGACCAGCCTCATGTCTGCACCAACCTTTCCATCTGCGGTAGACCCTGAGCTGGCCTCCTGCTGCTTCCTCAACTGCCTTTTTGTCCGGACTCCCGATATCCCCATTTACTCTCCCCTTGTTGGTGCATCTAGCAGGGATGACATGTATAGAAACCTCTTGGGAAGACAGAGGCAGAGCCTTTCCGGAGCCTCACAGAGCAGGGAACTTTCCCCAGGCAGCCATATTGCAGCTTGTGCCATATAAGAAAGCCTCGTGTACACAGATGTTTACAGAGCCACAGAGTATTTTTTAGGTTAAAATGCAGTTTTCCCTGGATAGTAACCGTCTCTGGTATTCATACTTCTGTTTCTTGCCAGAAGCCTGACCCTAAATCATGGGTTCCTGGTAGCTTGGATTTTTCCCAGCAGAGGGAGAGGAGGCCTTGAGCCAGGGGACATGCTGGAAGCTGGGAACTGCCCACCATCCTCGCTGGTCCCTCTCCGGATGTTTGGTGGGTGTTACCCTCCTTCAGCCAGTCTACACACACCACTGGCCTAGCTGGCCAGGCCCAGGCCTTCCTTGCCCAGAACTAACCCATCTTTCAGATCTTGCCAAACACTAGTTTTTCCCCTCCTCTTGGAGTGTAGGAACTAAGAGTAGCCATTTTCGGTTCTTTTCCCCCAGGGGTCCTACACCAGGGGAATAGACCCTACTTACGCCCACAAGGTTACTGTCCCAGTTCCTAAGATGGCGGATGACGGGAAGCACCTATGCGTGAAAAATCCGAAACGGAAACTGAGAACGAAGGTGGGTTCCAATGGCACCTGGGGCAAGCGACTGTGGGCGTCGTTTCCTACTGGCCATTGAAGGCTGAAGTCCAGACTTGGCCCTCACATACGGATGTCGGATATGGGAGGATGTAGGATGGGGCATATGACTGTAGGATATGGGAGGCTGTAGGTTAGAGCATATGGATGTAGGGTGTGGGAGGCAACATTCCCTTAGGGAGACCACAGTTGGGTGCTGTGTGTCCTTAAGGGGGTGACTTTCTCTCCTTAAGCCTTAACTACCTCTTCTGTTAAATGAGGGCGCTGATATGGTTGTCTTCTCAGGGTTCTTCCTGACTGCAGCTCCCATGTCAGGTCCTGTGTCCATGGCATCTGTCGTCTAGCGGGGAGCTCAGAGCCAGGAGCAATGTCAGGATCGCTGGGGTTTTCCTCACCACCTCTGTCCCTGCATTGAGAGGCTGCAGGGGGGTCTGTCGCTCGGGATTGAGGACATGAGGGCAGGGCTAGGGCCGGCCCCAAACGTCCAGGGTCCAGAATGAATTAAGCTTTCCGACCTTTCACTTCCAGGTTCATTCTGGTTCTAGGACGGAAGGAGAGCGTTACTTAGCCTCAGACCTCTCTACAAAACCTTGGGTAGTAACAAAAAAAGTGCCGTGTTTCAGATGGGAGACTCTGAGCTCTGGGTTCTGCCCATTCAGGCGTGGTGGTCGTTCTCCAGACCATTGGACTCCTGTCACCTCCTCTCTGCTCAAGGGCCTTCTATTTTGAAATATATTCATAGGAAGACTGTGCAGTTTCAATTAGAAGTTGAGAAAGAGAAGGGTCCAGTTCTTATGTCTGTAGAGGCCGTTCTGGTCACACAAAGGAGGGAGGGGGGCGGGGAGGGCAGCAGGATGATGGGACCGTGGTGACTCTGGGGGGTCCAGTCAATACTCAGGTCCAGCTGAGCATTGCCACGGGAGACTGTGCACCCCGGCTTCCCAGGCTGCCTGAGCTTTCAAGGGAAGTGAGAAATCGGAATTATCACGGGACAACTCTTGCTTTTCTTTAATGCAGGCAACCAATTAAAAGCATTAAAAAAAAAACCCAAAACTACATGGGCCAAAGAAATCACATTTGTGGGCCTGCAATTTTTGAAATCTTTGAGTTGGCCCCTCCACTCATTTTATAGAAGAAGAAACAGAGTGTCAGGCCTCCACTGGAGGGAAAGAGACATAAGTTCAAGGCTGACCTGCTCTTTCCAAGCCCGTCGTTCTGTTAAGTGTAACACAGCCAGCACCCTTCTTCCTTAGGTGATGTAGCTAGTAATTGCCAGACAAACAAGAACTACCCGGACAGTGTTTGCTGCTTAGAAATGTATAATTAATTTAAGAAAAGAAAGAGAAACAGGTAAAGGTATGGAGACCGGTAGGGAGGCAGTGGGACTCAGCAGAGAGCGGGCTGCTGGGAAGAGGCCGAGGCGAGTGGCGAGTGCTTCCGGGGGTGGTGGCTACAGCGGGTACTGCCTGTGCTTGATTTCCGTGATCTACTTGATCTACTTGGTCCTCACAACGGGTCGGGTGGACAGCGTTGCTCCCAGTGTGTGGGTGTGGAAATGAGGCTGTGCTGTTAGAATACTTGCCCAAGGTCTCCTGGCTGGTCATGGCAGAGCTGGGATTCGAACCCAGATCTTTTTCACCCCATCGACTCCACCGAGTAGCCTCCAGACTCTCAAAGCTCAGTGGGTAGGCGAGAGCCAAGGAATTCCAACCTGGGCTGTGAGAAGCCAGGGAAGCCTCGTTTAATTCACGGCAGGATATCAGAGCTGCCTGAACACGCGATGGGGAGCAGGCTGATGGATTCTTCTGGGGAGAGACTTCTATGTGGACGTCAGGACCTGGTGAAAGATCGAGAAGGAGGATGGGCTGAGGAAGAGTGGACGGGCATGGAAGAGAAGGCTGAGGTTGGGAAGGAAGACAGGTCCCCAGACACAGATGTCGTGCTGTGGTCCTCTTTGCTTTCATCATAAACTCACCTTGTCTTATCGGTTTCCTGTTAGTGTGATTGCTATTTCCTGCTTTTTGAGGTTGAAGAAAATGAGGCTGGGAAGAAGACTGGAACTGGAATTCCAGCTGAGTCATCTATACCAGAGTTTAGCATCCCTGGAGGGCCATAGCTACTCAGAAAGTGTGTGATGAAGGGAGGGAGTGGGGAGGGAGGGAGAAAGGAAGGAAGGAAGGAGGGAAGAAGGAAGGAGGGAAGGAAGGAGGGAAGGGAAGGGAGGGAAGGAGGGAGGAAGGAAGGAGGGAAGGGAAGGAGGGAGAGAGGAGGGAGGGAGGATGGAAGGAGGGAAGGAAGGAAGGGAAGGAGGGAGGAAGGAAGGAGGGAAGGAAGGAAGGAGGAAGGAAGGAAGGAGGGAAGGAAGGAAGGAAGGAGGGAAGGAAGGAAGGGAAGGAGGGAGGAAGGAAGGGAGGGAGGAAGGAGGGAGGGAAGGAAGGAAGGAGGGAAGGAGGAAGGAAGGAGGGAAGGAAGTGAGGGAAGGAAGGAAGGGAAGGAGGGAGGAAGGAGGGAAGGAAGGAAGGGAAGGAGGAAGGAAGGAAGGAAGGAGGGAAGGAAGGAGGGAAGGAAGGAAGGAGGAAGGAATGTTGGAAAGGGACAGGGAACACCCCTGTTGAGACCTGATAAAATTGATTTCCCCTCTCTGAGGCTCAGATGCATCATCTGTAAAATGGTGGGAATACTTTGTGGGGCAAGTGATGTACTTTGTGAGGCAGCTGTAAGGAGAAATGAAGGTTGCAGATGTATGAAAACTTTGACACACAAGTGCTTAGAGCGTGCAACAGGAATTTCACATGCGACTTGAGTTCCCACGAGTACGCTCTGTACTGTCTCGTGCACACACAACAGGAACTCGAAACCCCGGCTTCTGTGAAATGGGCACCGGTGACTTTATTTTGTGTGCATCCTGGTCGTGAGCTCATTTTTGGAAAAGTTGTGCTATCAGCAGCATCGGAAGTTCACAGAATCAGAGGTAGAAGAAGGGTCAGGACCTTCAACTCAGTATTTTCTCACCCAGGGGTTCCTTTTGCTCACGGGTCCCTCCCCATCACCACATAGCAGTGGCCACAGCCTGAAGAGAAGGAGCTCTTGGGCCCCTGTACCCTCGCCGTGGGAGAGTCATAGGGATGTGTGTCTGGGGTCAGGTTGCTGCCGTCCTTTGACTGTAAGTGTTCCCTTGTTAGAATGACTACAACCTGTGGACCGCATACCAGAACCAGGAAACTCAGCAGGTGCAGATGGAGGAGAGGAATGTCTTCTGTGGCACTTATAACGTCCGCATTCTCTCTGACGTGTAGGTACTGTGGTCAGAGCCCAGGTCTCCAGGGACCCCTGAACTACCCACACGGGCATCTGAGGACTCCCATGACCTTTGCTCACTTGGAAAGGCAGTCCTTCCTCACCTCAAGCCCCAGCCTCACACCCACATGAGATCCCATTTGGAGAATAGGTGCTTGATGTTTGCACCATTCTTGGCATTGGGTGGAGGTCGCTCTCCCCTTATAAATTTTCTGTACACTGACCAACAAGCTTTTGCACAATTCACAGGCATGAAATCTTTTTAAAAAATATCTTTATTGTTTAATTCTTATTTTAGAAGTAATATATCCTTACTGGAAAAAAAATCCAAAAAATGCCAGGAAGTGTATAGAGGAAAGGAAAGCTCTCCTACAATCTTGTCACATAGAGATGACTACCATTAATATCGATGTCTACCCTAGAACTTTTTCTTTGCCTCTATAAATACATATTTTAAATAGAAAGGGGGCTATGCTATACATAGTTCTGTAACCCACTCTGGCAAGGTACTGTGAATGTCTTTCCATGTTAAACATGAAAATGGTATTTATGATAACTACCTAGTGTGGCATCGTTTGAATATGCCGTAAGAAGACCCTTCAATAGGCAACTTTCTTCCATACTTTAGACCTAGGACTTCACTCTTTATTCATAAAGTTTTGTGAAGACCATCATTGTTCTATTTTTGTCTGTGAACCTTACTAACATTGCTTCTTGACCAGCCAGTAGGGGGAAGACAGAGCAGATGGGAAAAGGCAGAGCTGAGATTTTATAGATAGTATGGTGATACGTGCTCTTTAGAAGAGAAGGTGACTGGTTGAACTCTAGATAGGACAAATGGAATGAGGACAAAAACGTCAGGAATTGCTTCTCATATTTAGAGTGACTTTATATCCCTGTTTACTGAAACAATTCGATTTTAATCTGTGGTCCTCAAATAATTAACAATAGTGTCCCCTTTCACAATAAAAAAACTCAGTTTGGACAATAAATTATTTGGTCATCCTGCTCATATTTTATCTATTTGCTAATAATCTTATGATTGGAAAATTAATTCAACTCACCCTGTTTTGTTAGACTGTAAGCTCATTGAGGGCAAGGTCCATTCATATCTTATTCATCTATCTTTGTATTTCCCATTAGCACCTATTATCCCAGGACTTTGCCCCTAATATATGCTCACTGGATATTGGTTAAGGGAAAAAAGGAAAACAGCAAAAAACCAACAATGGGACATGCAGTGGGTACAGGGCTTCCCAAGTGTGTTCCTCTGAGGTTTTCCATGAAAAAAAGGTTTCCGTGGTCAAATAAGGTGGGAAATGCTGCATGCTCTGTTCTGTGTCTTGATGATTTATCATATATTAGCAGAAATTATTAAAATAGTTTTGCCTTTTGTGTTTAGGTTTTAAATCTGTTTGAAATGGATTTTTGTTATGGTGTGAGGTGGGGCTCCATCAGGAACCATTAACATTAGGCCTTGCCTTCTGCTATATCCCTTGTTGGAAGGCCCTGTATTTTCCATTATAGTATTGCTGCAGGTGAAAGGCACTGTGCTAAGTGAGTTCTAGGAAGGACCCTAACTCTTCTCTCCACGGATCATCCTTTTTCTGGCAACTCAGGTGGGACCGAAACAGAGTCGTCCACTATTCTGGGGGACATTTGTTAGCTGTGTCATCCAATCGGAAGATCCAGCTTCTGGACATCGTACAGATAAAACAGATACCCGTCAAGTTCCGAGGCCACACTGGGAGTGTCCGTACCCTCTTCTTGTGTGAGGAGGAAAACTTTCTCCTGAGCGGGAGTTATGACCTGAGTATCAGGTAAGTGGTCCAAGAAAGCTGTGCTCCCCAACCTGCTGAGGCCTAAATGCAGCTTGTGGAAAGAGCATGCATGCTTTTACCTTTTTGTATTTATGCAAAAGTTATCCTAAATTACACTGACTTTTAGAACAACCCACTTTGTTTTTGGCAAGATAAAAACCAAAAATTTGTATATTGTTTAAACTTTGGGTGAGATAGATGTATAGCAATTATCAGATCTATTTTCTAGCTGAAGGCTGTGACTCAAAAAGTATTTTCTTTAGCATTATTACGTGAAGGCATAATTTATATATATTTTTATAGATTTCTTCAGGGGAAAGTAGTTTTTTGTGGGTATGGAAACCAAATAGTGTTAAATATATATATATATATATATATATATATGTATATTTTTAAACAATATAATGAACACCCATGTGCTCATTACTCAGGCCAGGAAATAGGGTGTTACCATTCCCTAAATCCCCTATGTGCCTTTCTCTTATTCCTTCTTTCTTCCTCCCAACCAGAGGTAATGTTATCCTGAATTTTATACTAATTATTCCCTTGTATTTCTTTATAATTTTGCTACTTATTTATATATATGCCGATATATTAGTTACTTTTGTCCATTCTTGAACTTAACATAAATGGAATTGTATCTTAAAAGTTCATCTGTACTTGATTCTTGCACTGAACTGTGATTTTGAGGTTCATTTGTAGGATGTAGGTAGCAGTAATTAATTTATTTTCACTGAGATACAGTATTTTATTAGATGAATACATCATAGCTCGTTTATGTACTCTTCTGTTGGTGGATATTTGCATTGTTTATAGTTCTTTATTCTTTCAAAGAGAACTGCCGTAGACATTCCTGGATGTGTCTCCTGGTACCCATGTGCATGAGTTTTTTTATTTTTTATTGAGGTATAATTGACATAAAGTGTTAGTTTTAGGTGTATGGTATAATGATTTGATATATGCATGTATTGCAAAATGATTACCACAGTGAATTTAGTTATATCCATCACTACACATAGTGACAGTTTTTTTTCTTGTGATGAGAACTTTCAAGATCTACTCTCTCAGCAACTTTCAAACATACAATACAGTATTGTTGGCTTGTTTTTCTGTTCTTGCATCAAAACCGCCTTTTTAAAAAAGATAGATTTTATAGAGCAGTTTTAGATTCACAGCAAAATTGAGAGGAAGGTGCAAAGGTTTCCCATATACCCTTTGCCCCATTCTCAAGATACCCCATCAGAGTAGTACATTCGTTACATTTGATGAACCTTCACTGACACATCATAATCACCTAAAGTCCATAATATACCTTAGGGTTCATGCTTGGTGGTGTACATTCTATGAATTTGGACAAATATATAGTGACGTGTATTCATCATTATAGTATCATACAGAGTATTTTCATTGCCCTAAAAATCCTCTATGCTCTGCCTATTCATGCTTCCCCCTAACCCCTGACAACCAGAGATCTTTTTACTGGCTCCATAATTTTCCCTTTTCCAAAATGTCATATAGTTGGAATTATACAATACGTAGCTTTTTCAGATTGGCTTCTTTCACTTAGTCATATGCATTTAAGGCTCCTCTGGGTCCTTTCATAGCTTGATAGCTCATTTCTTCCTTATGCTGAATAATATTCCACTTTCCGGATGGACCACAGTTTATTTATTCATTCATCTACTGAAGGACATCTTGGTTGCTTCTAAGTTTTGGCTGTTATGAGTAAAGCTGCTATAAATATCCATTTACAAGTTTTTAGTGTGGACGTAAGTTTTCAGATTCTTAGGGTAAATATCAAGGAGAACAATTGCTAGATCACACCGTAAAGTATGTTTAATTTTGTAAGAAATCTCCAACTGTCTTCCAACGTGGCCGCATCATTTTGCTTTTCTACCAACAATCAATGAGAGTTCCTGTTCCTTCACATCCTCACCAGCATTTGGTGTTGTCAGTGTGCTGGATTTTGGCCATTCAGATAGGTGTGTAGTGGTGTCTTGTTATTTTTTTTGCATTTCCCTGATGACCTGAGACGTGGAGTATCTTTTGGGGATGTCTTCTTTGGTGAGATGTCTGTTAAAATCTTTGGCCCATTAAAAAAAATTGAAGTATATTTGATTTACAATATTGTGTTAGTTTCAGGTGTATGGTAAGCTGAAATACATACATATATATATTTCAGATTATTTTCCATCATAGGTTATTACAAGATATTGAATATAGTTCCCTGTGCTGTACGGTAAATCCTTGTTGTATATGTAGTTTATGTATAGTACTTTGAATCTGTTAGCCCCATCCTCCTAATTTATCCCTCCCACCCTCCCTTTACCCTTTGGTAACCATAAGTTTGTTTTCTGTCTGTGTGTCTGTTTCTGTTTTGTATGTAGATTCATTTTTATTATTTTTTAGAGTCCACATGTAAGTGATATCATATAATATTTGTCTTTCTCCATCTGACTTACTTCACTAAGTATATTCTCTAGGTCCATCCATGTTGCTGCAAATGGCAATATTTTGTTCTTTCTCATGGTTGAGTAATAGTCCATTGTGTATATATATATATATATATATATATATATATATATATATATATATATACACCACATCATCTTAAGCCAGTTATCTGTTGATGGGCACTTAGGTTGTTTCCATGACTTGGCAATTGTAAATAGTGTTGCTATGAACATTGGGGTGCATGTATCTTTTCGAATTAGAGTTTTCATTTTTTCCAGATATATGCCCAGGAGCGGGATTGTTGGATCATATGGTAGCTCTATTTTTAGCTTTTTAAAAGGAACTTCCATACTGTTTTCCACAGTGGCTGCACTGTGGAAAAGTGCAGTGTAGGCAGGTTCCCTGTCCTCCACACCCTCTCCAGCATTTATTACTTGTAGACTTTTTGATGGCCATTCTGACTGGTGTGAGGTGATACCTGACTGTGGTTTTGCTTTGCATTTCTCTAATAACTAGCGATGTTGAGCATCTTTTCATGTGCCTGTTGGCCATTTGTATGTCTTCTTTGGAGAAATGTCTATTTAGCTCTTCTGCCCAGTTTTTGTTTTGGTTGTTTATTTTCTTTTTGTTGAGTTCTGAGAGTTCTTTGTGTGTTTTGGATAATAGTCCTTTATCACATGTGTCTTTTGCAAATATTTTCTTCCAGTCTGTGCCTTGTCTTCTCATTTTCTTGACATTATCTTTTGCAGAGTAGCTATTTTAAATTTTAATGGAGTCCAGTCTATCAATTCTTTCTTTCATGGGTCATGCCTTTGGTGTTGTATCTAAAAGTCATTGCCATACCCAAGGTCATAGTTTTCTTCTATGTTATCATCTAAGAATATTATAGTTTTGTGTTTTATGTTTAAGTCCGTGATCCATTTTGAGTTAAATTTTGTGAAGGATGTAAGGTCTGTGGCTAAATTCTTTTTTCTTCTTCTTTTTTTTTTTCATGTGGACGTCCAGTTGTTCCAGAACCATTTGTTGGATAGACTCTCTTTGCTCCATTGTATTACCTTTGCAATCAGTTGACTGTACTTACATGGGTCTGTTTCTGGGTTCTCTGTTCTGTTCCATTGATCTATTTGTCTATTCTTTCACCAATACCACACTGTCTTAAGTACTATAGCTTTGTAGTGAGTCTTGAAGTCAGGTAGTGTCAGTTCTCCAACATTATTCCCCTCTTTCAATATTGTTTTGGCAATTCTGGGTCTCATGCTTCTTCCTATAAACTTTAGAATGAGTTTTCAATATCTGCAAAATAACTTGCTAGGATTCTGATTGGGACTACCCTGTTTTGTTTTGTTTTAAAGATTTTTTTAAGTTGTTGTTGTTATTTTTGATGTTTTCATATGTGATGGTGGGGCAAGTTTTACATTTCACTTTCCTTTTTTTTATATAACTTAGCTATGGTATATATTTTTTGAGTTTTTAGGGTAAGTTTACCGACTTGAAAAATCTAACTAGACTTTCAATTGGAGTTGCATTGAATTTATAAACAATTTGGGCAACACATTCATTTCTTTGTTCTTTCTTAGAACTTAAAACTTTTTCTTTATAAAAGTCTTGTGTAGTCTTATTTAATACTTGTAAACTATATAATTTTGTTGCTATTTTGAGTGGTATCTTATTTTCATTTATATTTTAAAGTTGGTTATTGCTGGTATTGAGAAATGGTATTGATTTTTATAGGTGGATCTTGTATCCAGCAACCTTGCTAACCTCTCTTGCTAACCTCAAAGTATGTATGTTGGTTTGGTTTTTCCATGTAGATGATCTTATCAACTGGAAATAATGGCAATATATTATCTTCTTTTCTGAAACTTACGCTTTTTTCTTTTTCTTTCATTCTAACTTTGCCTTGGCCTTACAGTTAAGCAGTAGCTATGAAAGCCATCTTTATCTTTTTCCCCTTTTTGAAGGGAGTACATCTGTTTTTTCTCCATTAAGCATAATGTTTGCCGTTATGACTTTCTTTTATAAGTTTGCTAAGGCAAGGAAGTCCCTTCCATTCCTATTTTTCTGAAAGTGTTTCTCAAATATCAATACCTTTTCTGCATGAATTACGAAGACAACCTGGACATGTGGTTGGCCATGTTGCTAGAAACAGAAGTTCAAAACATGCTTTTTGGGACTTCCCTGGTGGCACAGTGGTTAAGAATCCGCCTGCCAATGCAGGGGACACAGGTTCGAGCTCTGGTCCATGAAGATCGCAAATGCCGCAGAGCAACTAAGCCTGTGCGCCACAACTACTGAGCCTGCGTTCTACAGCCCGTGAGCCACAACTACTGAGCCCACGTGCCACAACTACTGAAGCCCGCAGGCCTAGAGCCCGTGCTCTGCAACAAGAGAAGCCACTGCAATGAGAAGCCTGCGCACCACAACGAAGAGTAGCCCCTGCTCGCCACAACTAGAGAAAGCCTACGTGCAGCAACGAAGACCCAACACAGCCAAAAAGAAATTTAAAAAAAACATGCTTTTTTTTTCAGACCAGTGGGACATTGTTGAATGCACTGTGGGTGCGGAGTAGGCTCTGACGAGCAGGTAAAGCCATAGGACCTTTAGGAATATTAGAAGGAAAAGCCTAACAAATCTAAAGAAAAACAGAACAAAAAGAACCATTTACTAATCATTTATTATGTGCCAAGTCTCATAATAACTATGAGGTAAGTACCATTATTATCCCCAATTTACAGATGACGAAACTGAGGTACAGAGTGATTCAGTAACTTATTCTAGATCACACAGCTAGTAAGTGATGGACCTGGTATTGGACCTCAGGCAGCCTGGCTCCGGAGCCCACCATCTTGACATTATATCGATACTTTGTACTGTCATAAAGGCATTTGGCTGAAGTGGAAGTCAGTATTAATGATAGTTGAGAGACCTCAGGCAGGTTTGCGTATTAAAAAACAGTGTGACTCTGGGAATTACCTTTCGGTCCAGGGATTAGGACTCTGTGCTTTCACTGCCAAGGGCACCGGTTCAGTCCCTGGTCAGGGAACTAAGATCCCACAAGCTGCGTGGCCAAAAAACAGACAAAAACAAACAAACAAAAAAACAGTGTGACTCATACACGTTCCCACGTTATCTCTTAGATATGCTTTAGAAATGCACATAAAATATTCTAGTGGCTCTGGGTCAATTGTTGTGTTGTTCTTGTTTGAAGGTCAGCTCTACCACTGAATCAGTGCCATGGATTCTGAGCCTGGTGACCATTCTAGGGACCCTTCCACCTAATACAAGCTAACAGTTATCAATTATTTTCTACTCACTGCTCATTGTTCTAGTGTTACATGCATTATTGCAGAGTTTCTCAACCTCAGAAGCATTGACATTTGGGGCTGGAAAACTCTCCCTGTGGGGGGTCATCCTGTGAATTGTAGGATGTTTAGCAGCGTCCTTGGACCTTGCATGCTAGATACCAATAGCACCTCCCTACCAACTTGTGACAACCAAAAATGCCTGCAGACATTGTCACAGGGGATGGAAATCACCCCTGGGGGTATAAATCACCCCGGTTGACAGTCACTATGTTAGTGTATTTAATTCTTCCCCAAAACCCTGTGAGGTAACTACTATTATTATCATCTCCATTTTATCAATGGGGAAATGAAGCTTACTCAGAAATTAAGTAACCTTCCCAAAGTTACAGCTAATAGGCCCTGCAACTGGGATTCAGATCCAGGCCTTGGTCATAAAACTCTGCTGCCTTCCAACTCCCTATTGAACTCTATACCGTCTGATCCCTTGGGCCCTCAGAAAATCTCAAAAACTTATTATTATTATTTTTTTTGGCCTGATTCCTGCAGATACTGGGATCTGAAGAGTGGGGCTTGCAAACGCATCTTCAATGGCCACCAGGGGACTATCAGTTGCATGGATGTGTGGAAGAACAAGCTCGCATCTGGAGCAAGAGATTGCCAGGTAAAAGGTGAGAAAGAAACACCTCCACCTCTCTAAGAAGTTTCCCCAAATCCATGGGTTGCCAAAGGACTTGTTTTGCTCATTTCTATGGGCGGTCGTTTATCCTTTCAACCGTCCATGTATCCATTGACCCATTCACTGAACAACTATTGATTGAATGCCAGGTGCTGTGCTAGATGGTAAGGAAAAAAGCGCTTATGATATGGCCCTTCCGACGTGGCTTTTTATTTCCCCAAGAGTCTCATGGTCTTCTAATGGACACACACTTAGAAATATATAATGGGGGATTATAGTAAATATGTGAATGATAACAGTTGCCATTCATTGAGTACTAACCTTGAGACAGGCACTGTGATAGGTGCTTTGCATACATTATCTTGTTTAACTCTCACAAGAATCCTATGGGTTGACTGTAATTTTAAATTACAATCAATTTTAAAAAGAAGAGAATAAAAAGAGGGAGAGAGAAAAAAAAAGAATCCTATGGGATGGATGCAGATAAGGAATCCACAACTCAGAAAAACAACTTGCCCCAAATCAAAGCTAAGTAGTCGGGTGGGGATTTGAACCCAGGGCTGTCTGGCTCTAAAACGTGTGCTCCAATGAGCTTGTGGGGTACTAAGGGACCGTAGATATAAGGGTAAAAGGGAAAGCACTGCAGGCAGGGTGCTTTTTGAGTGTGATCTTGAGGAGTAGTTCTACACGCAGAGGGAGAGTGTAGAGCATTCCAAGCAGAAGGAACACCTCAGGCAAATCACAGAATATTGAAAAAAATGAAGAATTTGGGGAATTTCCCTTTGCTCTGTACAGCTGGGCTGCAGCGTGTGGTGTTGGAGATCAGGCGGATACGTTTGTCTGGGGCCAGATTGTCAAGGGCCTTCTGCGTCGTGGTTGGAAATTGAACTTTATTCTATAAGACGTGGGGGCCGGTAGATGCGTTTTAAGCTGAGGATTGATATGATGAAATGTGTATTCGAGAAAGATTGATCTGGTGATATCGTGGAAGAAGGATTTGGAGAGGTGGTGACTCCGGGGGACAGGGGGCAAGTTAAGGGACTTACTCAGTCTAGAGAACCTGTGATGTCTTCAGAATATCCGAGAACAGGCAAGTGTGAAGACAACAGATGGATGCGAGTTTACACGAGATGGTACAAAGAGAAGGGAGACTTCTAGAAGGAGAACTGGCGGGACTTCAACACTAGCTGGAGATGAAAAGGGAGAGAGGAGGGCAAAGGGTGAGGCCAGACTTTATAACGCAGGCCTCTGGGTATCTGGAAGTACCGCTGATGGAAACGGGGCTTCAGAGGAAGAGTCGGGCGGGGGAGGGAAGCAGGAGGGGGTGAAGGCTTCCGTTTTGAACACGTTGAGTGTGACAGGCAGGAGGACGGCCAACCAGAGATGGTCACGTTCTAATCCCAGACACCGGCGTCTGTGTCATCTTGTGCCTCGCATGGCAGAAGGGACTTTGCAGAGGTACTGAAGTTAAGGACCTTAAAATGGGGAGACGCTCCCGGGTTGTTGGTGTGGGCCCATGGGTGATCACGTGGATCTATAAAAACAGACATTTTCTTACCTGTGATCAAAGGGAGTCATGACTATGAAGAGTGGTCAGAGAGATACAGTGTTGCTGGCTTTGGAGATGGAGGAAGGGGGTCGTGAGCCACGGAATGTGGGTGACCCTAGAAGGTGGAAAAGGCAAGGAAATGGGTTCCTTCCCGCCCACCCCCCAGAGCCTCCATACACGCACACAGCCCTGCTGACGCCTTGATTTTAGCCTTGTGAAGTCGTGCCAAACGTCTGTAAGATAATCCATTTGTTGTTTTCAGACACGAAGCAGGTGGTAATCTGTTACAACAGCAATGGGAAGCTAACACGTTGAGCGTGGGATTACCGCGGACATCCGGGGGAGGGCAGCAGGAGGTGGATGCAGCCCCAGATGGGTCAGCTTGGTGGTTACCAAGTAACAGTGAAAGGGGGAAGCCCCGGATGTGGGTGGGATTTCCTTCGCAGAGCAGGAGGAAAGAGTGAAAGAGAAGAGAAGCCAGGGCCTCAGGAACCCACAGCATGTTAGGTGTGGGCGGAGGAAAGTGACGGGAAAGGGACAGTGGGCTGGTGGGACACACACGGATGCTCAGAGCTGCCTGGGAAGCCTTACTCCCTACCTCTTTGCCCTCCCCAACTGACTGAGCGTCTCATTGCCGTGATTGCTTTGAGGGGTGGAGCAGAAAGGATGAAGGATGAGGCTCTGAAGATGGAAGGGTGGATGTGACCTCCCACTCACCTGAGAGAGTCCTGTGGGCCGCCAGCAGGGCTATAGGGCAAGGGGAGTTAGGCCCTCACCTCTGGTGCAAAATTTAAGGGGATAGAAAAAAAAACTCAGTGATCAAGATGGTTATTTTAATGCAATACTTTAAAAGTCAAAATTAACGTGCAAAATATACAATGAAAAAAGTATCCGAAGGTCTCTCACTCCACCCTAATCTTGGCCCCAGCTACCAGCCAGCCTGCTTGGGCTCTTCCCACCTTCCTGGGTTACCAAAATAGAACAAAAAGGAGACAATTAGAGACCTGAAGGGTACCCCCCCGCCCACACTTTAAAAATTCTTTAAGTCAGGACACCTTACCAATAACTCCTTTAATTCATCTTTCAATTTTCCCACTCCTTATTTGATAAAAGGGCCAATATATATTTAAAAACAAGTGTAGAGAAGTGTATTCACATAGTTCTGGTTAGTGGTTAGGAGCGTGGCCTGTGGACCCAGACGCCCTGGGTTTGAATCGCAGCTCAATCTGCTCACCGCCTGTGTGACCTTGAGCAGGTTACAGAACCTCTCTGGGCCTCAGTTTCCCCACCCGTACAGTGAGGCATAGTAATCGCTCTGCCTTGTGAAGATGAGTTAATGCCTGTCAGGCACTTTGAGTGGCGTCTGGCTCACAGCCAGCGCAGCGTGGATGCCAGCTATGGTTACTCTCCGGTCCTAGCTTACGCGTTCTGTTACCCGAGGAGGAAGGTTCTTCGGGGGCTTTAACGCCCTCACCCCCCTGAAATCGTGGTGCCTGCTTTCAGCCTCTTCCTTTAAGCTCGGCTCTCCCACCCACCCAGGGACACAGACCCACCCAACACTTACAGTGTGGGGTACAGTGGCTCTGACGCCGTCTGTGTAGCAGCAGCAGTAGACCTGCCCTGAGCTGTGACAGTCTCGCAAAAGTAAAATCAATCCAAAAGTCAGATTCTGAAATATTTTAAAATGTAAATGAGGAGAGACAGCTTTCTTTCCTTTGGGGGATAGAAGGTGGGGGTCAGGAGGACAGCATCCGGGAGGAACGAGGACATGAACATCTGCCACGATTTTCCTGAAATCCACTCCATAGGAAGCATTTTTCAGGCTTATTAGAGCTGAGGAGGCTTATCAGAGATGAGCTGTCCAACCCTTGGACCCCGAGGCTAAGTTCCAGGGTCAGAGCCAAGGTCCATGCACTGCTGGCTCTCCTAAGGGCTGTGTTCAGGGAGCGCTGGGTTGCAGGTACATGGAGTGTGGGTCAGCCTCTGGAGCTGCCGGGCCAGGTGAAGCCTTGCAGGGTCTGACACAATGGGCTCGGCTGGTCTTAGCTTCTGCGATGGGGTGTGGAGCCCCACTGCCACCCTCTCCGTGCACCTACCCCTCTCTCTCCCTCCCTTTCAGAGTGGGATATAGAGACAGGAAAGTGCCTGAAGACCTTTAAACACAAAAACCCCATCCTGGCCACCAGGATCAATGACACGTACATCGTGAGCAGCTGTGAGAAAGGGCTGGTCAAAGTGTGGCACGTCATCACAGCCCAGCTGGTAAAGGTGAGGGGTGGGGACGGGGGGGTCGGGGCACTGGGGGTGAGGGGCTGGAGGACACTGGCAGTCCCCCTCCAGGTAGCTCCCCAGACTGCCCTAGAGCAGTTGAGTGGCAGTCACCTAAAGAGGGTGGTCCTGAAAAGGGGGAGGGGAAGGCCCCCCAAGAATGGGCCATTCTGAGCCAGTAGAAGGTCAAGGCCCGCGTGAGCCGCCTCGTCATGGGTGGGTGGCGGCGGCGGAGGCTGCATTCTGACTCCGCATGGTACGTGGGCTCGGGGTCTTTTAACAGCAGCACGAGTAAAGTGCCTTCTCCTCTTCTGGAACATTCCAGCCTGATTCTGGTGTGGGGTATAGGAATGAACAAAGCCACAACTGTTTTCCTCCTTCCTCTCAGGAGAAGAGAACATTGGCTGTCTAGAAAGTGATTGTTCACACACAAAAAGCGTTCTCGCTGGATTGGAAGCCCCCTGGCCCTAGTGGGCGGTGGGGAGATGTCATTTGTGCCAGGACACAGGATCACAGTGAGAAACACTGACCTGGCTGGCAGGCTCTTGCCACCAGTGGTGTCGTCACTGTGGTCTGCCCAGCAGTTGCAGGCACAGAGAAGCCCAGCTGCCTCCGGGTCCTGGCAAGGAGCTGGGGACGGAACACCTGAGCCTTGCCCTTCTGGCAGCAGAGGAAGGTAAATCGTGGCCCTCTCTGGCACTCTAGGAAGGTGGGGCCTGCCCCGCCGCAGACCCACCGGGAGCAAGGCCTCGCCCTGCTCACCTTCCTCCTTAACTCGGGAGAGAGCTCCGGAGAGCGGGGGGCATGGAGTCCGCTGGCCTCATCAGAGCCAAGGCGCGGTCAGCTCAGATAAATGCTAAGTGGTGGTGGCCACGGATTGGTGGAGCGTGGCTTTGGGATTCATCTCGAGAAGCCTCCAGCTCTGGCCTTTGAGGAGTCACAGTCTGAGTTGAAGACGGACTGAAAACAGAGGCATCTTTTCTTGCAGACACTCAACGGCCATGAGGGAGCTGTGAAGTGTCTGTGCTTCGACCAGTGGCATCTCCTGTCGGGAAGCGCTGACGGCCTGGTGATGGCCTGGAGCATGGTGGGAAAGTACGAGCGGTGCCTCATGGCCTTCAAGCATCCAAAGTAGGTACCAAGGAAACCGGGACCCAGCTCCTGCCCCGCTGTTTCCTGCCAGAGCCCAGACTTCGCTCTTCGGCAGATCGGTCCCCTCTGCTGACCACCTGTTGCCTCTGCTCCTCGTCCGTCTCTGCTCCCTCTTCTTCTGCGTGTCGTCCACTATGACCACCCCCTCTCCTGTCCTCCCTTATTTCTCTTAAGAAATAATACTAAATGTGGATTTTGAGAGGTTATTGGAACTTTACACTTACGGCACATGGGATAAATTTGTATCTGTTACCTACCAAACGTAGGAATATTGGCAGAACGGTCCCCCAAATAATGCCAGCCCCACTAAGCTTAAAATCTTGGAATTGCGTGTTCACAAAAGCTTAAAATTATCCAAGTGCCAAAGGTTTAAAAATAACCAAGGGCTTAAAGAAGGAGCTCCCTTAAAGCCTGCGGGCTTGATTCTATTCCAGGACAGCAAATGGATTTCATTGTACACTTCCAATCCCAGTTTAGTGATGGTGGCTGCTTGGAGCCAGTTAAGAAGTACTCTGAGGTCACATCTAAGCTTATTTGAAAGGGGATTGTGGTCAGTTAATGGTTCTGCCACAGTCATGGGTTTTACAGGCTGCTCTAGGCCACTTCTGTACTTCATGAATAATGCTTCTTCCCCTGAGTGCATTATAAGAAATACCAGGAAACTAAGTGCTGTCCCAATCGATTGAAAGAGTAAATGGGCCTTCCAGGAGGATCTATCACGGGATAGTTATTTAGTGAAATATGGCCTCACAGGAACCTCTTGAACAGGCAGACTGGCTTTGTGGGCGGTGGAGGGGGATATGGGCGTTTATGTGTATGTTCTCTCTCTGGCGTGTATGACTGCATTGTTGACAGGTGGGTGTCAGGAAAGGCCAGTGTTCAGTGATTTACCCAACCCTTGGGTGATTATCAGTAAGCTTCTCAGCATATCATCTGGACGGTCAAAACTTGACCTCAAGGAGGGACTCAAACTTTGTGATGTCACCTGAAAATTGTAACCCTGCGTTTTTAAAACCTTCCAAGCATGATTCAGTAAGATTTAGTTTACTTATTGGAAAATAATTGTTCCCAGCAAACTCAGCAGTATGTTCAACATTTCATCAATCTATGAGCCTCCCACTCTTCCTCAGCTATGAGACCTTAGACCATTCCCACTTCCGTCGAATGACAGCCCAACATACCATTCACATTGGCTCTTGATGCCTTGCACAGTTACAGCAAATCCATAGACAGTTACAGCACACCTGGAGGACATTGTCAATGTTCTCATTTTTAGGGCCCTTTCTCCCACTCATCTGTAGTAGTGCTGTGTATATGTAAGTGCTTAATAAATATTTCCAACTGATTGATAATGAGGACTAATTTGACAGATTGCCTTCCTGGAGGGTTCTAATGATGCACTGATACCCATCTTTAGAATATGACATGGATGAAAAAACATATATTTGCTCTCTGTCCTTCATAGAAGAAGGACCAGAGAAAGAGGGCTCCTTTCTGTTCTCTTGGTCCAACATTTTTTTTTATCCAAAATTAAGATTCTGTATACAGTGTAGGAGAGAATGGTTATGAGGAATGAAATTAGAGGATGCAAAGTAGGGCTGACAAAAATGATGATCCTTAGAAAAGCTTCTGTACCCTGGAGTGTCTTTTTTTTAAAAAACCCTTATTCTTTAATGTCTTTTCCATAGCTAGTATTGTACTAATATATTTTTTTGCAATTTTAAAATTAAGATATAATTCACATTACATAAAACTTACCATTTTGTAGCATACAATTCAGTGGTTTTTAGTATATCCATAATGTTGTGCAACCATTACCACTATCTAATTACAGAATATTTCCATTAGTCAGTAGTAATGTCCTCTGTTTCATTTCTGATTTTAGTAATTTGACTTTTATTTCTTATTTTATTGGTCAGTCTAAGCAAAGATTTGACAATTTCTAGCTAAAGGTTTGTTGATCTTTTCAAAGAACAAACTTTTCGTTTTATTAATTTTCTCTATTGTTTTTCAATTCTCTTTTCATTGATTTCTGCTCTATATTTTCCTTCCTTCTGCTTGCTTTGGGTTTAGTTTGACCCTTTTTTTAGTTTCTTAAGGTGAAAGGTTAGGTTATTGATTGGAGATATGTGAGTATTTACTGCTATAAATTTCCCTCTGAACACTGCTATAGGCTGCATCCCATAAGTTTTGATATGTCGTGTTTTTATTTTAATTTATCTCAAAGTATTTTCTAATTTCCTTTCTAAATTCTTCTTTCCCCCAGCGGTTATTTAAGAGCATGTTGTTTAATTTCCATACATATTTATGAATTCCCCAAATTTCCTTCTGTTACTCATTTCTAATTTAATTTCATTGCAGTTGGAGAACATACTTTATATAATTTCCATCTTTCAAAATTTACTGACACATTTTATGGCCTAATGTATGGTCCACCCTGGAGAATGCTTCATGTGCACTGGTATGAATGTGTATGCTGTTGTTGGTGGAATGCTCAGTATATGTGTGTTAGGTCTACATATAGTTTATAATGTTGTTTATGGCTTGTGTTTTCTTGCTGATTTTCTGTTCTATCCATTTTTTAAAGTGTTGCATTGAAGTCTCCATCTATGATTATTGAGTTTTCTACTTCTCCCTTTAATTCTGTGAGTTTTGCATAGCATATTTTGGGGCTCTTAGGTGAAGATGCATTTATAATTGTTATATCTGCTTGGTAAGTTCACCCTTTTATCATTATATAATGTTCTTTTTTGGTCTCCATTAGCAATTTTGTCTAAAAGTCTATTTTGTATGATATTAGTGTAGCTACTCTGGAGCTTCTTTGGTATGGAGTATCTTTTTCCATTCTTTCACCTTTATTTGTGTCTTTGAATCTACAATTGAGTCTCTTGTAGACAGCATATCGTTGGATCACGTTTTTAATCCTTTTTCCAATGTCTGCCTTTTAATTGAAGAGTTAGTCCATTTACATTAAGTATAGAATGGACTTAACTCTACCATTTTGCTATTTTCTATATAATCTTTTGTATTTTTTTGTTTCTCAAGTCTTCTATCATGGTCTTTTTGGATATTAAGTGAATACTTGGATATTTTCTAGTGTGCCATTTTAATTCCCTTGTCATTTTTTTTCCTCTATATTTTTGAATTATTTTCTTAGTCGTTGCCCAGGGGATTACAATGAATGTCTTCATTTATCTAGTTCACATTAATATCAACTTAATTTCAATAGCATATAAAAACTGCTCCTATACAACTCCTTTTCCCCCCTCTTTTATACTCTTTTTGTAAACAAATTAAATCTTTATATCCTATGTGTCCATTATCATAGACTTATAATTATTGTTTTATGCAGTTGTCTTTTAAATGAGATGAAAAAAAGAGTTATAAATTAAAAAATACATTTGTGCTCTGTTTTAGATTTTCCTAGGTAGTTGTATTGATAGTTACCTTTACTGATGCTCTTTATTTCTTCATGTGGATTTGAATTACTCTCTAGTGTCCTTTCAGTTCAACCTGAAGGACTCCATGTACCATTTCTTATTAGGTAGGTCTGCTAGTGATGAACTTTCAGTTTTTGTTTATTTCGGAATTTCTTAATTTCTCCATTTTTTAAATTTTATTTTTTTTAATTAATTAATTAATTAATTTATGGCTGTGTTGGGTCTTCGTTTCTGTGCGAAGGCTTTCTCTAGTTGCAGCGAGCGGGGTCCACTCTTCATCACGGTGCGTGGGCCTCTCACTATCGCGGCCTCTCCTGTTGCGGAGCACAGGCTCCAGACGCGCAGGCTCAGTAATTGTGGCTCACGGGACTAGTTGTTCCGCGGCATGTGGGACCTTCCCAGACCAGGGCTCGAACCCGTGTCCCCTGCATTGGCAGGCAGATTCTCAACCACTGCGCCACCAGGGAAGCCCAATTTCTCCATTTTTGAGAATGGTTTTGATGGATATAGATTACTGGGTTTACAGTTATTTTTTTACCCTTTCAGCACTTTGAGTAGGTCATTCTATTGCCTTCTAGCTTCCATGGTTTCTGATGAGAAGTCAGTTATTAATGTTATTGAGGATCCTTTTTATGTTATGAGCTGCCCTTCTCTTACTGCTTACAGTTTGATTATAATATGTCTAGGTGTGGATCTTTTTGAGTCTATCCTAGTTAGAGTTGAGGTTCTGGAATGTGTAGATTAATGTTTTTCATCATGTTTGGAAAGTTTTTGGCCATTATTCAAATATTCTTTCTGCTCCTTTCTCTCCTCTTTTTCTGGGAATCCTGTTATGCATATGTTGATGTTTGATGATGTCACACAGACTTCGGAGGTTCTGTTCATTTTTCTTCATTCTCCTTTCTTTCTGTTCTTTAGACTATATACTCTCAATTGACCTCTCTTCAAATGCTTTCCTTCTTCTGCCTGCTTGAATCTTCTGTTCAGCCCCTCTAGTGAATTTTCATTTCAGTTAGTATAGTTTTTCAACTCCAGAATTTCTGTTTGGATTCTTTTATAATTTCTAATTCTTTATTGATATTCTTTATTTGGTGAGACACCATTCTTATACTTTCCTTTAGTTTTGTGGGCATGGTTTTCCTTAGCTCTTTGAACACATTTAAAATAGATGATTTAAAGTCTTTGTCTAGAAAGTGCAACCATTGGGCTTCCTTATGCACAGTTTTTATCGATTACTTTTTTCCCTGTTTATGGGTCATACCCTCTAGTGTCTTTTTACACTTTACAACTTTTTTGCTGAAAGCTGTACATTCTGAATATTTTAATATGACAACTCGGGAAATCAAATTCTCCCCCATGCCCAGGGTTTCTTTCTTTCTTTTTATTTTTCTAGTTGTTTGTTGTAGTTTTTATTGTTTGTTTGTTTAGTGAGTCTGTATTCTTTGTCTTGTTTGGCCACTGAAGTCTCTTTTATTACCTTGGTGGTGTGCCCATGACTGGAAAGAGATTTATTGGAACACCTGGAAACAAAATACCCCCCATTCTTTGCCAAGGGGCTCTGTGTGCCTGTTGAGGGAAGCCTTCAACACTCAGCCAGACAGTTTACAACTCTGCCTTAGCCCTCATTTCCTGCTTGTGCAGACCATCAAGGTCATTCAAGAGTGAGAGCTTAGGGCTTTTTCAAGTCTCCCCCAAGCATGTGCACAGCCCTGGGCGTGTATGTGGCCAGATAGAGTCCCAGAAATACATCCGAGCTTTTCACAGCCCTTACAGACATTTCATTCCCCAGTTTTTCCTCCAAAGCTTCTTGGTTAGTGTATTGTTTGCCCCAGCAGATATCTATTGCCTTAGGCAACCATGACTAAAATATTTGCCTATGTTTTTAACAAAACATTCCCCCCACCTCTACCCTCCCCAGGTAGTAGTTTTAGCACTGGATAAGTTCCTGGTAAGATGAAATAATGACAAGTTTTTTAAGCCAGTCTCCCAGGAATCCACCAGACAGGTCAGATAATTCATTGTGAATGAGGTCTGTTCTGTTTCCTCCAGTACCAGGAATGCGGGCTGTTATTGACGTTTTCATGGCTGCCACTGGGCTGGGGAGTTGGGATTGGACTAGGGTAAGTTAACATGCCACAAAGTCCACTGTTCCTACTGAGACTAAGATCATTTTCTTGTCTAAGTGCTCCCTGGGTTGCTGCAAGCCTTTGGTTATTTTCCAGAGTTCCAAATAGTTGATTCTGACAGTTTTTGCCAGTTTCTTCGTTGCTTTTATGGAAGGATGGAATTTTGGAGTTCCTTCCTCCACCATTTTCACTGACATCACCCTCTGCAGTCTCTTTTGATAAAAGAGGAACAAAGAAGGAGACAAATGACTTATTTTTAGAACAGAGATAAACCTGAAAGGAGACTGGGTTATGCCAGGACCATGAAAACCGCTCTTGTGTCAGGTATGGGCTAAGTTTTTAAAATACCTTGATTGATTTAATCCTGACAGCAATCCTCTGAGGCAGTTCCCCCTTTTCATGGAATAGAAAACTGAAAACTGAGAGGTTAAGTTATTTTCTCAAGGTTATATAGTCAATAAAAGGTAGGATCAGGTTTTGATCCCAGGTTTTCTGATCCCAAAGCCTGTGCTTTTAATCACCAGGCTATAATGGTATAGGTTGAACCACCAAATGTCACAGGAACCCATGAGAAGTGTAGGCTTAGCTCAGCAAGATCCAAAGAGATACACAAAGAGGCAACCCTTCTATCACGAGGCATCTCTCCTAGTGCTGGATTCCCCCACAAGTGGACCGAGGTGCATCAATATAGTTATTGTATTTCCATCTTAAGAAAAAACTGGAACTTTGTTGGACTTTCTTATACTTATTTTATACCTTAGATTGATCTATCTATCTATCTATCCATCCATTCATCATGTGAGGTGGGATTCAAACCACATTGGCGTCTTTGCTGCTTTTTGAATAGCTCCTGTCTTTCAAGGTCTTTGCTATTTCTGTTTTGTTAGTTGTTGGGGCCTTGAAAAGTCTTAATATTGGCTCTGGGATCTGACCAAGGCCAAATGGTGTGGGGTGGATGTCATTCTTTTAACATATTGTAGCAACAATCATACACTGAAACGTGAGTCGACATTCACTTTTCTAACAAATATTTATTGAGGGCCTGCTATGGGGCTAGGCACTGTGCTGGGTGTGCAAAGATGGATAAGATGTGGACTGTGCCCAAGAGATTCTGACAATATACCCGAAGTTTGTGTATGTGAGTGGAATGAGAGGAGAATGAAGGTAAGGGATGGTTTTATGGAGAAGGTAGCACATGAGCGAGGCCATGGATGGACTTGGATGGGTAGAGATGGCAGGGATCAATGGATCTGCTTTACATATAAGATCTAAGAAATTGGTGGCACTGGTGGCATCAAGGTCCATTTTTCAGTAGCATTAACAGCAATGCGGTAATTACACTTCTCAGAATTGAATACTCCAACTTACCTGGAGCCCAAGTTGGAGCCAGCTGTTGTAGGGAGAATTTTGTTGGAGGCATCTACCTAAGTCTTCTCCTGATCCCCTCTCTTTTCCTGCTGGTCGTCACAAAAGGGAGCTCAAAAATCTCACCCCTGGGTACAATTTTCCTTAAGGATGTTTCACTGAAAGGATTAAAGCCACTAATTTAAGAACCAAAAGAAACTGCTCAAATACCGGGTTTTTGCTTCTTATAAAGATGATCATTTTCCCTTATTTTTTCTTTCTTTCTTTATATAACAATGCTACTTTTACAAAGATTCAAAACGTTAAATACTTCTCAGCATGAGAAGTATTAGCTAGGAATCAAATTGTAAGAGAGAAGCATGGTCATCTCTGTATCAGATCAAAAAAAAAAAAAAGAATCTGTGACTTAAGCTTTTTTGTTTTGCCACCTTGTGGCACTGTGACCAAATTGCAGGAAAAATAACACAATAGGGTGGGAGATTCCATCTGTGTCTTGAGGGTTAATGGTTTACATCCAGAATCATAAAATGATGGCAAACATCGTTTCAAGGACAGTCACGACCCCTGCCTCCCAACAGTACCCGAAATGCCCCAACTCCAGACACACCCACACAGTTTGCCAGAAGGTGGGTACTGCCCATTGCTCTGTTCCCTTCCAGGGAGGTTCTCCACGTGGCCCTTCTCTTCCTCCGGGTCATCAGTGCCTGTGCAGATGGCAAGATCCGCATTTACAATTTCCTAAATGGGAACTGTCTGAAGGTGATGAAAGCCAATGGCAGAGGTTATCCTGTGCTGTCCTTCTTTATTCAGGGCAACAGGTGGGTGGTAGGTCAGAGCCCTGAGCATTTCTGTTTGGATGATTATTTTTCCTGCTATGGGACACCGGCCCCAGATTTGCTGGCAGCAGGAGAGAGTGGGCCGTGCTCCCCTCCAGTCTTGGCTGCAGTCATAGGCTCATGGGGGACTCATGGGACTTCACACAGAACTTAGCAATCAGGGACCACACTACTCTTCATTCGTTCTGGGTGTCTGATCCAGTCACGCAATGGGCTCGATACAGCTCTGCCGTGGGGACCGAGGTTCTGCCAGCCTGCAGCCCCTGATCCCACGTCCAGCCCGAGAGCTTCCCAGCTCTCTGTGTCTCGCTTCTGATGCAGAGTGACGTGCAGGAGGGCGGGAGTGGCATTGGCAGGCGGCCCAGTGTCCAGTGGGGCAGAACTGAGCAGATGAGTTTACAGAAAGCAAAACCATGACGACACTAATTGTATATAATACTGTGTCGTTAGACGCTAGGTTCAGGGTGATATTATGTGAAAATACCCAACTAGACTTAACTTTTAAATTCTATCACAGCCTCACTTAAGACATCACTTAATCGCTTCGAACCACATTGCCTTCCTCCTAATGATTAGTCCTCCTTGCTTAAAGCAGGGGGGTGCTAGTATACTAAGGCTCAATAAATTAATGCTTTTCAGTTATGAAGTCAGAAGCCTATAAAAAAAGGTCACCTTTGACCTTTTCTTAATCATGACATCCGAAGAGAGACGTCAGCTTGAGCAAAAATATGTCTGAAAGAGATTCCTAGTTGGAACGATTCCCCAAGTTCCCTTCCAGTGCTTCCAACCGTAACGAGTCACTTTTAGGGAGAGTTTACGCTAACAGTGACAGTCTTAAAATTGCAGGCTTTTGGCGCAGAAAGGAGCCCACACATAGCATTTACATTTCTTGTTTATGGTTATGGGAGACCTAGGAGCAGAGGTGGGGGAGGGAAAGCAATGCCCTGTAACCGCTGTGAACCCCAGGAACAGTGGGTGGGTAGCAGGCGATGGTGGGGACCCCGGGGTTAGAACCCTTTTTTTCTCTAGTGGCATGAGAGTGGGGATTAGGGAAGACAGAAATCCTCCTGCTTTACAAAGTACAAATGTTCTGTCTGAACGTAGAGCGTGCACAGACACCCAGAGCGATGGCTTGAAGGGGGTGGGGCTGGAGGGTCAGCGAGGGCTTGAAGGCCTCCCCCATTAGAGTTTTGCCCATCCCATCACGGCAGTAGAGCCATGGCATTTGGATGCTGTGCTTAAGAAAAAAGGAGTGAACTTGAAGACATCTGTGTGCAGAGTAGCTAAGCCTTCTGACTCGGGCACCCCAGGTTCTTGGCACTCACTCCAGGAATGGAAATTCATTAAAAAAATATTGTAATCCGAGAAGCGAAGTAATCAGGACGTGTGTGCCTTGTTCACATCTAATTTCTAAAGAAAACGGCTACAGAGCTAACGACCCCTGCTGCACAGCCTGCCACCTTTCTCCGCCCGTAGACCCTGCAACAACCTACACCACCCTGTCTGTGCGGTCATTTCCCGGGCACTGATCCCTTGGCCTCAGGATCGGATGGGACAGTAGTCCAAATGCATATTTGGAAGCCGGGCAGTGGCAGCCTCCACACTCCTTTTGTGGGCAACCCTGTTGCTTTGGTTCCAGGATGGTGATCAACACGGAGAGCAACATCCTCATGTTCCAGTTCGAGAATATCAAGTGGCAGTACTCCCTGGAACGGGCCAAACAAAAGAAGAAGGACAAAGAGGATGACAGGGAAGAAAACGGCCTCGCAGAAGTTCTCTCCAAGTCGAGCACTCAGATTCCCAGCCCTCAGGAATCCATATCTAGCAAACACACGGCCCAGGAGTCCCTGTTCAGCAAATCTCACAGGTCCCCAGTTCTCCTGAGGGCATCCAGGTTACCTACAGGTAAGAACCGAATCCCAGGCAGCCCCAGTGGTACCCAGGGGAGCAGGTGAGGGGCTTCCAGGACCAGTTTCTCTGTGGAATATTTTGGTCAATGGTTTCTTGATGATATAAATCCCAACCTGTATGTCATTCTCTTTGATGTGACAATTTGTTAGCCAGCTCAAGGGGATCTCCTGATTTTCAAGGCCTAAGTTTTCATACTTATTAGAATCTTTCTGCAGTAGATGACACTAGCCCTTCATACTTGCCATTAAAACAAAAACCAGACAACCAGCATCCTCCCCCTTGCCCCTGATCCAAGCATATAGTACATGACTATTTCCTTAGGACACAGACAAGATATACTCTACTGCAGGAAAACGTCCTCTGCCGAACATATTCTCTGTAGACCTCTGACTGATAACATGCGTACCTGGAAAATCCTAGATCAATAGATCACCTCCAAGAGTATTACACCACAAACGGTCAGTTAGGACAGAGGACCGAGAATTTCAGATGATGCATAAAGCTTGATAATCAGTAGGAAACGGGGGTAGGAGGGGGGCGTCAGGAGGTGATCTAGATGGACCTTCGGCTCCAGGTGATTGCCTAGTTTCATGGGACAACAGGAAGCAACAAACAGTAAAGTGATCATTTGGGTGAAAATCAGTTGAATTATCAGCTACGCCCCCAGTATTCATACCAAATTGAATCACATAATTACTACAGTTTCCTCCTCAACCTTAATTTAGGAGTGTTAACGGAGGCACCTCGAAGTCAAGGAAAGCCAAAGTCACCCCGAAGAGATGGCAGGAAGAGACCGACTTCTAGGGAAGCAAATGGCACGGGCACCGAGCAAGAGAGTTTGGAAGCAAAACCCCTCGCCGGAGATAAGAAGAGCGGTGATCCTTTATTCTGAATTCATGTGGCAAGAGTCAATCTCTCTCTCTCTCTCTCTCTCTCTCTCTCTCTCTCTCTCTCTCTCTTCCTTTGTTCAGTCTGATTTTTCAGCAGGTTGATCAATCAGTTTGCTTGCATTCTGAATGGATAAAATGCCCAGCTTCTCCTAAGAGTGGTGGGTTTTCCCTAATCGTCCCCTTACTGACTTCAGGCCACACAGAGCGAGCGCCTTTCTCAAGAGCTGAGCCTCTGGTTTTGGGCTCACAGTCAGCCTCCTTACTTCTTGGACTGTTGTGTCATCAATCTGAGTAATGGGCACAGCGGAAGGGAGAAGAGGCAGTGGGGCTGATTGCAGAGGCATTTTAGGGGGTTTCATGGGGGAGGAGCTGGATTGGGGGGTGCTCTACATGTGAGATAAGGGGGTCAGGGAGATAGGCGGGGAGGGGCTTTGGAGAAGAGTTACCATGAATCAGGTGTCCCTTTGTTGTTTTTGAGAGACTCTGGTAAAGATTTAAAAGGCCTTTCAAATATTTTTGGCTAATATAATAGTGTTTCTTTGAATCAGACTCCCTGCAGAGACTAGCTTCAAGGTGAGGGTAAAACAATTGAGTTTTGTGAGGTCTGTAATAACAATGGGCATCCTTGCATATACCTGTCTCTGTGTACCTGTATAGGTATACCTGCGGGGTAAAGTCCTAGGCGTGGCATCGCTGAGCCACGAGGATGACTGCATTTTAAAAGCTAGAAGGAGATCGCCATAGTTGTCTTTAAAAACTGCTGTGTCACTTTTCACTCCCACCAGCAATGCATGAGAGCTCCCACTGCTCCCAAGCCAACACTGGGTGTCCACCATCGTTTTGCTCATATGATAAGTAAAGATGCTATTTGCATTTCTTTAAGGTTGATCACTCACAGACTAAGTAACTAACTAGGTGATGACAAAGCCATACTATGACAAAGGCATTTTATACAACAGCTAAAAATGGATGACGAGCCCCATTTTTCTTTTTTTTTGCGGTACGCGGGCCTCTCACTGTCGTGGCCGCTCCCGCTGCGGAGCACAGGCTCCGGACGCGCAGGCTCAGCGGCCATGGCTCATGCGCCCAGCCGCTCCGCGGCACGTGGGACCTTCCCGGACCGGGGTACGAACCCGTGTCCCCTGCAAAGGCAGGCGGACTCTCAACCACTGCGCCACCAGGGAAGCCCATGGAGCCCCAGTTTTGACTTGGAAAGAGATCCGTAATATATTATTATATGAAAAAAAGACAAGTTACTGAACAATGAGCCCATCACAATTCCTTTTAATAGAAGGAGAAAAACTGTGTTTTGTCTCTCTCTCACACACACAGAGTGGTGTATTCTGGAATTGGACGAAGCACGGGGAAGACTTTGACATCTTAATTTCATTTAGATAAGACCTACTTGGTCAAGGAAAATTATACCCTGTTATAAAATTGTGAAATCAATACCCTGTTGCATTTTCTTTGCTAGTTTTATTGGTGCAGTTTGAGGTGCAGATTTTACTTGCTAGGTCAGACTAGACAAATGCCTTCTCCTTTTCATGGTTCAGTTATGCCTTTTGTAAAAGGAGGATAATGTTTTCAGTGTGTCTGTGAGGTATTGCAGGGATTCAAAAGCCCAAATGAGAGACATAGTAAATTTGCTCACCTGTGAAGACATCGTTGCTAACTCAAGGGCCTTAGGCATCTTGGAGGCCTTGACTCTAAAGTAGCACGCCAGAATGAATCTCTTGTCCTTGTCAGTGGCTTTTGGACCTACGAAATGTTCAAAACATTTAGGGAACTCCTGTTCAGAAACTGCCTTTTGGCCATTTGATAGTTTCAGTTTTGCAGGGGTGGCATGTTTTTTGAAGGCAGTTTTGATTTTGAGAAACATCCAAAGATCATTTGGAGTCAATTTTGATGAATAAAGTGGAAATCAAGCTTTGCCATCCAGGTTTTATTTAAAAATATAGGTGTGTTACTGAAACTCTGTAAGGCTATAAATGGGGTGTGAAGGTCCTTCCCACAGGGAAGTTTCAGGAACTTGTGGAGCACAGGCATTACATATGTTCCTTCCAAAATATGCATATCTAGAGGTTCATACACACTTGTACACAAGTACTAGCATATTTGTTAAAAACGTGTGTTAAATATTTTGTAATTTCTCGTCTCATAGAGGATTTTTGCTCACATGATGGCAGCACGTCCATTGGGTAACAAAGACCATAGTCTGAATAGCAGTTGGAATGGATTTAACTTTCATACGTAAGTACTTAATGGTTTTCATGGAACACTGGTTTGTTTTTCTTTTCTTTTTTTTAAAAAGCAGATGATGTGGAGAAAATACCAAAACAAGGACAACTGGGAACTTTGGGAGACTTGATCAATTGCTCAAAGAAGAAGTCCTGGTGCATCCCTATGTCACCTGACCAGTTCCTCCTGACTGTGAATGCCCTGCAGAAAGCCCATAATTCTGGGGAGTTTGCCTATCCCCGGAGGCCCCAAACCCAGGTCATCGATGCCTGGGGACCTTCCATTTCATACCCAAGGAAGGTCCTGAGTTTGAAGGGACGATCGGTCCAACATGCAGTCGATCGGTTGAGATTGAGCAACCCTCCCATAGACGTGAAACAAACCAGTATTCCTCTTGAAATCCAGAAGCTTCAGCTTAACCTGAAGAACTCTGTGCACAGCCCCAGAGTCCAGTCTGCCATCCCCCAGCCGGTGCTTATCTGCCCCAGGTTCTCTGGCAGCTTAAAGGCTGAAGACCCGCCAACCAGTTCAACTGATGGGGCAGTGCGCAGCTTCAGCCCCTTAACCAGCACACAGGTCATCCAACCAAACCGCGTGCTGGCTCCGCCGATGGGCACGACGGCCCAGGCTGCCAAGAGAGATTGGCCCCGCTTCTACACGGCCCTCGACCCCTTCAGAGTGAACACAGAGTTCATGCTGCTGACTGTGAAGGAGGAGAAAGAGTACGAGGAGGCCAAGATGAAGGAGTTTCAGGCCATAAAGCCGGCTGGAGGGGTTGATCCGGAAAAAGCCAGCAGAGCTGCCTGGGTCAGGAAGATCAAAGGCCTGCCCATTGATAATTTCATGAAGCAAGGAAAAACAGCAGCCCCTGAACTTGGGCAAAACGTATTTATCTGAACCAGCCTTGGGAAGTTACAGCGTTTTATAATAAACAAAAAACCAAGTGGATGTTGGTGTTCGGCCTCTTTTTGTTTGTTTTCAACTGTTCCCTGGCAATTAACATGGGGACTCTTTAATTATTTTCCTATAAACCAAAGAACTGATATTTATCAAAGTAAGAAAACAGAGAGAGGCTGGGGGTGATTGGCATCTGTAGTACCACTGAAAACCATTCAGTGAGAGGCATGGAAGCCCTGTTTCATTGATGGGAGATGTTGGAAGTTTAATACCACTCATGGCTACCAATTTAGGGCTATCGTTTCTTCTAGCAAATGAACTGATGGGATTATATCAGAATAATGCACTGGAGTTCCCTGGTATTTTCGTATGGAAGCCTGATGAAGCTCAATGAGTTCAATTAAGAATCTAAAAGGAGAAGCCCTCAAATTGCATTTTTCCTCCTCAGGGCTAACTCCTATGGAAGAGAATTAGGCACATTCATCCTTTCTACATTAATATCATGTGTGTTGAGGTTGCTACTTAAGCCTGCTGAGGTTGGTGTCAGGGGCCAGGCAGGTGATTTAGATGTGAGCAGCCCAGCATAGGGGCTGTGGCCCATCAAAGAGCTCAAGCCCCATGTGAAGGGGGTAGCTCCTACTCAGTAGCTCAGCATGGCATAGGATGGAAACCCTTGAAGCAGAATGCAGAACAAAACAACAAAACACCAACCCCACAAAACTCCACAACTCACACACTGAGTGGGCCACCAAAACCCTGGCATGGGTAGGCCAGATGCACAGGCCACCTGTTCCCAGCCTTCGCTTTCACCTCCGGGTGCAGGAATACCATCATTTGCCAAGCTTTCTCTCCCTGGAGAATTTTTTCTGCATTCTTAGGAAATCAGGTTTAAAGTAGCACTGGCAAATAGCCATGTAAAAATTGTGATTTGAATGGAAAGAATCCCTTCAATTAAGGAAACGTGCTTCTACACATTATTCCATGAGCCTTCCAACAGCAGTTTGACAGCACGCTGGGCAGATAGGATATTGTTATAATCACAGTTTCAAAGATGACATGAAGTCCCTGAATTTCAGCTCCTTCAAGGGGCAAGATCACAATATTCGCGGCTAAACTTAAAACCGTGATAAGAATAACATCTATTGAGTAGGTATGGACCCTGGAAGGGAAGGACACATAGATGTTAGCTAGATAATTGGTTAAGTGGAGTAGACGGGCTCAAACCCAGGGGGCTCAGACTCCGGGGCCCACGCTCTCAGCCTCTCTCCTTACTGTTTCCCAGGTCTACCTTCCTCCCTTAATAAGACCCGCCATGTTTAGGGTCCTCATGCCTAGTTCTTCTTAATAACATTTACCCCTTCGCAGGCGGACATTTATTTCTTCAACTGCTTCCACTATTTAAGGTACAAAAGTAATCCTGTACGGAATTACACGTCATCGTAAAACACTCAAACGAAATGAAAACTATGGAATCATGCCCCTGACCCCCACCCCTGCCCTCAGGACATCCACACTAGAGGAATGACACTCTGTAGGCGGCAGCAACATCTCCAGGCAACAAACCATGAAGTCCCTAAAGCAGCATCTTTTACTTTCCTCTCCTGCTTGGACCTGCCCGGGCCCCAACCTGAGTCCCGGCTTCTCGCCCTGCCCCGCCCACTCTCTAGCCCCGCCCGGATCCTCCCACTCCGAATCGCCCCGCCCCCACTTGCTACGCCCCTGAGGGCCCGGAAGCGGAAGTGGGGTCGGGTTGCCGCTGTTACTCCGGCTCCTCCAGGCGCGTAGTGACCCCGCCTCGTCTGTTCTGGTCCCCGGCCCGCGGCTGCGGCGCTGACGTGGCTCCCGGAAGTGGGGCTGGCGTGGGCCGCCATGTTGCAGCAGGTGAGGGGCTGTGGGCGCGGAGAGAGGGCCGTGGCGGCGGGACCGGGCCTGCAGGGCTTGAGGGGCGCGTGCTGAGCGTCCGGGGCCGCTGCCGGAGCCCGAGGAGGAGCGGGTGGGCGGCGGCGGGGCGGCCGGGGGCGGGGCCGGGGTCCGGGCTGCGCTGAGGGCCGGCGCGGGTGTGAGAGGCGCGGAGTCGCGCCCGGGCGGCCGCGGAGATGCCGTGTGTGGCCGGGCGAGGGGAGGGGGGCCGCCACCCAGCACGTGGGATTAGGGGATCCCCCTCGGCCTTACGTTCAAGTTTGTGCTGTTACAGCAGCGTTGGAGGTGGCTGGTCCACTCCCGTGACTGCATCTGCCCCTCCGAGCTAATTACAGCCCTCACGTGTAGGACCAGAGATTAGTAAGAATCATTTCGTAGTTTCTTCCTATTTTTAAAAAAGTTACACTTTTATTTAGATTTTGTAGGCGTCTTTTCCTCTTGAGGGGTTACTGTGGCCCAAGCACTGTGCTAGGCCCCGGGGGAGGGCTGCGAACCGCACAGACGATTTCCTGCGCTGAATCGGAGGGAGGATTGGAGGGTGCCGGCGGTGGGGAGGCAAGGTAAGTTAAAGACTGAAGGTAGTTTTCACAGGGCTGTCACAGAGCCAGGGTGATGTGATAGCAGGTGTCTGCGAATAGGACGCCCTCGGGATTTAGTGTCGGAAAGGACCGCTCCGGGGAGGTGACCTGAGTGGGGAAAATCCGGTGGTCGTCTGCACCTGCGCCCCGGCTGAAGGAGGCTGGAGAAAAACACAACGGCACTGACTGTTCTCACTTAAGCGTGTGGCCAGGCACCTCAAGCGAGCCCGTAGGGCCGCCAGGCACTCGTCACCCTGCCCCCTCCGTAGCCCCCTCTCCCTCCCACCTAGGCTGCTCTCGAGGGCTTCTCCCTCAAACCTTCAGCGTTTCTTCCTTATCTGCTCTCAGCCCCTAGCCTTGCTGCTCGTTTCACTGAGAAGGTGGAAGCCATCGGTGTCCGCACCGCCTGCCATCTCCAGCTTTCCTCAATCTCCTGTTTACTCTGCCTTTGTTTTATGTAACTGCACTGTCTGTGCTGCGTGTTTTTTTTGATATGGGCCATTTTTAAAGCCTTTATCGAATTTGTGCGAAAACAGTATTGCTTCTTCGTCTTTTTTTTTTTTTTTAATGTTTTGGTTTTTTGGTCACGAGGCATGTGGGATCTTAGCTCCCTGACCAGGGATCGAACCCACACCCCCTGCACTGGAAGGCGAAGTCGTAACCACTGGACAGCCAGGGAAGTCCCGGTGCTGCCTTCTTAAGTCGAGCCCTCTCCTTGTGCACTGGTTTCCATCCCCTCTTGCCTAAATAAAGTACCCCCAGAGAATTCTAGCCTGTCGCCAAGGTGGAGACCACTGGTCTCATAGATGTGAATCCATTTTACATTTTCTAGCTTCAGCTGTTCCTCCACTCTTCCACCTTCATTTACTATGAGGGCTTTCTCCATACGTACTCTGTGTGTTCCCACTTCTGTGCCTGTGAACAGATACCTAGTCAAGGGGCCAGAGGGAGGCCCAGCGGGTGAACTCTCCTGGAAGCCTCCCCACAGCCCGTCCCTCCATCTGCTCCTGTTTGCGCTCAGGTTACTTCTGGCACTGACCACAGTCTGCCACGTGTCGTAGGTGATTGCTTCTTTGTTTATTAGCTCATGCCTTCCACGAATACTGTAGCACCTGGCCTGGTGCTCGGCTAGACACTAGGATTTATTACAATGCAGGGACGGAACTTGCCCTCCGGTAGCTTGGAGTCTAGGAGGAGGTAGGAGGAGTAGACTTGCAGTAAGACTATCCCGAGATAATTGTTCAAGCGGAGATTTGCCCAGGTGCTGTGGGGACGTGGGAGGGGGGATGCCTGGGGATTTCAGGGCAAGTTTCTCAGCCGTTGCAGTATTTGAGCTGAAAGTTGGAAGATGATTTGGCGTTTGCCTGATGGTCTGCTTCATAGGGGATGGGGAAGGGAAGAGCTTCTGGGTAGAGAAAACATGAAGGGCAGAAAGGTGGGAGGGCCCGAAGTGTTTTCCCAGAGCAGGTAGTAACAGCGTTGCTGCAGTGCTCAGTGGGAGGGGGCGTTGTCGGGAGGTGGGCACGGCATCAGGTCCTGAGCTGCCGCGAGCTCTGGTTTGCTGTGCCTGAGGGATTTAAGTCTTATCCTGTACAGGGAGGGGCGCCACTGAACAGTTTGGGCAGGGGGGTGACATGGTATGCTCTCCATTTAGGGAGATACTCCGGGTAATGAGGGGCTGGAGTAGAGCGGGGGTGAGACCAGAGATGGCAGGTGAGTGGGGAGGGGCTGGCACTGTGAAGGTGTGAAGCATGACTGAGGCTGCAGGTGAGTTGCAGTGAGCTGAGGTGCGAACCACTTAGAGACCTGAGGTTGAGGAGGGAAGGGAAGTAGAGGACAGAAGGGAGATTCAGCATCAGGACTTTAAAACATCTCTTCACGCTGTAAAGGACACCTGAAGAAGCTTGTATGCTGATGAGAAAGATCCACCAGAAAGACCTGAAGATACAGGAAACTCTAAATAAAGGGGAAGAGTGATGGAACACGCCCCCAAGGAGGCCGGAAGAGAAGGGATTCTGACTACAAGTAGCTGGTTTAGCCTTGGAGAAAAAGGGACAGAGTTGAGAGAAGGGGTCAGGAAAACAGGGCTGCAGTCAGATGGTTTTGTGGAGGAGCCAGAGACAGTTTATCTCGGCAGCCTCAGCCTGCTCTGACCTGGGAGCCACCTGAGGGTGGCTGCATGGAGTTTGCGCTTGGCAGCTTCTTGGGTGGGATGGAGACGGCAGGTGCTTGGGTTGCCGTGTGGGGTTTGGCCAGGTGATCAGGGTTGGGGGAGGGAACTGACCTCGCCCCTTCCCTAGGCTGTGAGTTCCAGGTGGCCGTGACCGTGTCCTACCGTCATCTTCCGTATTGACTAGCGTGCTGCCTTGCATGTAGTAGGCATGCAATACGGAGTTTCATTCTGCTTCATGAATATTTGCTTTTCCTATCAGGACAGTAATGATGACATTGAAGATGTCTCACTGTTTGATGCAGAAGAGGAGACAACTGGTAGATCAAAAAAATCTAAAATCAGGTACGACGATAAGTTACAAGACTCGGGTTAGTGTCTGG